GATGTGCTTTCATCCTAAAAAAATTAAGCTTCCATACTAGAAACTAGAGGGAAGAGTATACTTATGTTTATCATGTCCACTTCTACATAAAAAAAAACTCTTTCATTTTCATTATAATAATTTAATTTATTTAGTTATTTGATCAAACTAACCTTTATAAACATTTCTATTTACATGCAATTCAAGTAAGAAGCAATTTCCAAGAATTGAAAATGATGGAAAACTCTTAAGGTATGGATAAGTCCACAGACTTTCCATTTTCCTGGCAGTTCACAGCTTTCTAAAATAGAGAAAACTTCACCTGAGGATAAACACTAAATGAATGCCAAAAAAGGAAATAAGAAAGCAAGATTTTCAGAAAGCCTAATTTTACATCAAGAAGAAATTATGCACTTTTTGTATTTCTATATAAAACACATAGACATTTCTTGCCACATGCTACTAAATTTTTCATTCTTTCCAAAGTCTCAAGTTTGAGACCTTTCTCAAAGTCTTGGAGTAAGTCATTCAATCTCTCCACAATGAATAACAGTCTTTCAAATTCCAGTGCTACCCTCTTGTTTGGAGAGTCTCTCTTGAAGCTCAACACCATTGCCAAACCTTCAAGGGCAAGAAGGGCCTGGAATTTAAAACCAAACACTTGTGGCAAATCTTGTGACATATCACTATCACATAGATCCCTCATACACCTTTTTGTAGAACTAGGCCAAGGTTTTTTGGAGTCAAATCTATATGAGCATGACTCATAAAACTGTTGTCGTTTTTGAAGGTTATCCAGTTTTTTGTAAGTTTGTTGTATCTGGACTGGTGACCTGGCCAAGTGACACATCACAGCATGGTGTTCATATGATCTCAAGTGTTTTGTATTCACTGGTATCACCACCTCTCGCAATGCAACAACTCCCTTGCAAACATCACCATGGGAAGACCAGATCTGCAGGCAATACCAACAGAATTCTTTACCACAGAGACCACAGACCATGTGATTACATCCAAGACCTTTCTGTATTGGGTAATTGCAAAATGGGCAGTTTTTAACCCCTACACTAGTAATCAGGGCCTCTCTTTTGCTGTTTTCAACCATCTTAGCATACCGTTCATGTTTCTTTCTGAACACCTGGGCTTCCTCACAAGTAGCTGGCCAGTGAGCATCTTCCTGGCACTTGAAACACCATGTGTTACCACAGAGGCATGCCACTGGCAAAGGCTGGACACTACCACTGTGCTCAGAGCTACAGACCTTGGAGGAGTCCTTTGCTATTGTTGCCTTGACAACCAACTTGCACTGGTCTGCTGGGCACCATTTCCACTTGGGGCATATTTCCAGTATGGTGTCCACCCTTTTTGCCATATGCCGTCCATAAAGTGATGGTGCAAGTAACATTAAGGTGACATCATCAACTGTTGTGCTACACTCATGCCCAGGGCACCTCAGGTTTATTTGGCCAAGATCAATCTGGGTCTTTAAGTGAGTCCTCCAGCAACTGTTACAGAACATGTGACCACAGGTGGTCAAAGTTGTCGAGGAGACATCAGTATCTAAGGGAGAAAGTTTAAGAACCTTCAATCTTGTAATTACTAGACATAATTGTAACTTACCAGTACAAGTAGATGCCTACTTTTTACATTGCATTTCCACAGGCAAATACTGAGGTGCTGGTGCTTTAGTAACACCTAAGTAAGTTATTTCCAATGTTCATAATTGAGTAAAATTGCAGCTCAGGCAATACTTTTTTTTAGATATTGTGACAACTATTAAGTATTGGATTTACCATGCTTAATTGAAACCTTTGTGGAAAGTCTTTACAAAAAGTTTGAAAATGTTTGAACTTAACTTAAGTAATCAAGCACTAGATAGGAAATTAATTAAAGAAATAACTTAATTAAGGAAGGATATACATTTCTGATTCATTTGATGGAAAAATGCAAGCCAACAATACAATTTAAAGGCCAAAGAAAAGATTTAATTTGTTCTTTTTTCCCTAAAAGCAAAGAACAAAACACCAAGCATAAATTACAACTCAGACCTTGTCTGAGCATCAGAAACTCATTTCAGTTGTTATCAATTACTCTTTGAGTTACTTACCATTACAGCTGAGTTCCATAAAACATATCCCGCACTCCATTTCAGTACTAAACAGAGGTTCAGGGTTTTCTGACAAGAACTTTTCTTTCCCCAGGGACATCTTTATCTCCTGACGTGCTTTCGCCAATGTAAAGGCCTTAGACTTCCAACCAAGCAGGTCTGCAAAGACATCAAAAGACAGTTTGGGTAGCCTGGGTTCTGCTGTGTCTGCTTTACTGTTGGTGTTTAGGCAGAAGCAGTTTCTAGCAGTGTTCACAATATCCTCTAGAGTAAGGCCACAGACATCCTTTCTGACACTTTTCAGCCTGATTTCAGAAATGAACTCTGTTAGCACTGATTTATGTGTGTGTTCTTCACTGCAAGTGACAGATGCAAACCAGTTAGTCAGCCTGTGACCCTGTCGGAAAAGAACAAAAACTTCTGAATTGATGTCCTGAGATGTTAGTGGTGTAACCTTGAGTGCAAATGCCCTTGGAACACTCTCTGCTTCAAGGTACTTCTCACCCCACATTTCCTCTAGATGAGCAGGATTAGTTTGTTCTGGGGAAAGAACAAGAGCAATGTACTGGTGGATTACATCTGTTGATGAAGGTTCCAAACATTTTCCAGGCAGGTCAGATCTTGGTGTCATATCTGTGCTAGGTACTTGGTGTTGACTACCATGACTGTTCCCAATTGAAGATGGATTGTTTAATTCTAAGGACAAGTTAGGATCAACCTGATTGAATCGTCGGAAACCTCCTCGTCTTCCATGTCTCCAATTACCTCTTCCTCGTCCTCCTCCACGCCTTCTTCCTCGCCCTCTTCCTCTGTGCATGCCACCTCTTACTGGTGCCCGCCAATCATAATTCCAACCCTGGTCATCTATGTTAGCATCATGACCCCAGTCATCAGTATTAGCATCATGACCCCAGTCATCCATATTAGGAACAGGATCCCTGTCATCTATATTAACAACAGCATCCCTGTCGTCCATATTAGCCACAGCATCCCTGTCATCAATATTAGCAACAGGACTCCTGTCATCCATATGAGCATCATGACCCCAGTCATCCACATTAGCATCATGACCCCAGTCATCCATATTAGCATCATGACCCCAGTCATCCACATTAGCATCGTGACCCCAGTCATCAATATTAGCTTCATTACCCCAGTCAACCATATTAACATCATAACCCCAGTCATTCATAATGGCATTATACGAGTTAGGAAAACGACAACCATTATTATATGCAGACATCTCTCTGATTTGAGTCAGAAGTTCTTGATGTGCATTGTACATATCATCTCCACTGTCCACATAAATGCACTGCTTTTTAGGTGAGAAAAGTCTTGTGCTTTTAATGGTATTTTTTATTTGCTGTGAAGTCTTAATCTTTTCGATGAGATTCGATTTCCTTTTAGGGGATGTTCTCAAAAGTGAATCAAAATCCATTGTGATAGATCTAGTAAAGCTGTTTGAGTGACAGTGTTCACTGAGATCCTCCTCGATACAGTGGAGAGATAGATCTTCCTCATGTACCTCCTCGAAGTCTTCCTCTTGACTCCAATCGAAACGAGAATTCTTCTTGCGTGTTTCGAAACGTACTCCTGATCTCTTTCTATGTTTCTCTTTCTGCCATGGTCTCAATGGACTGGGGTAACTCACCTCAAAGCGTGTACTCGCATATTCAACGTCAACCAGCAGATCTTTAGCTCGAGCCAATCTGCCCTTGGATTTTCGAGTTTTGTTATCCTTTGAGCTGTAAACTGACAAACAGTCCGGACGATCTTTTCCATCATTGGTGAATCTTTCCACTAAAACAACCTCGTCCTTCTCGAATTCCGCAGAGGTAGTTGTCTTGATTACTTCTGGAAGAAGCCAGCGATTTTGCTTGCCTAGCGAATAAGTGGTGACCTCTGTTTTATCTTGGCTTCCTTCAGGGAAAGCTGTGGTGTGAATAAGAAGACCCTCAGATCTTTTGGACCGAGAACTTCGCGAGCGTACAGTTCGTCCGTTGTTGACACCGAATTTTCCAAATTTACAAACCATTTTTCCTTTTTCTTCTAACATCTAACCGTTTTCTCTAAATATTGAATGGTTATTAGAGTAAATCGAACCCTTTTTATACTTCCAAAAATCCATTATTAAGCAAAATTCACACTAGTGAGTGCAACTGTGGTGCAACTTCCCTGTAAGAAGTAAACAGTAGGTGAAGATTTGATGAAAACAAGTTTACGATTGGCTGCTGACTTATTATCCAATCCGAGGATTCGTATTATCAACTCGTGATTTATTTTTAGCTCTATACGTTTTGTACAGCACCAAAACAAAATTTGGCTCACTAGTATCTAGAATACTCTTAAAAATATTTTAGCACCTTCCAGGTTTTCCCTGTGATCGATTGATTTAATTTCCTTACATTGCTCAGGAAAGCTGGCGGGGATTACGAATTACACAAGTTTTGATTTCGTCGAAGCTTCAGTTTGTTAGAGTTGAACCACTCTCTGAATTTATACTTTTGTTAACTAAAACGAAAAAACCCGAGTATTGCAGGGTCCAAATTGAATTCTATTCGATTATGCTTTGAAAATTCAAAATAAATTGCAATTATATTTCTACCTAAATTCATTTATTTTTTTCTTTCGTTTCTATTTTGATTAGTCATTTGTCCTTAATTGACTTACGTACGTATTTTTGTGTGTTGATTCATGTCTACGTATTTGTATATTTTTCATGTTTTTATTTGTTTCAATAAGTTTCAAACTCAACTGAATCAAGTATGTCACTATCAAATGTCACGTAACGGTGTTCTTAGAAGAATGTTACTAAAAATAGGATTCTGAGCAAGGAGTCATATTAGTACGCATAAGATTATTGGACGATAAATTTGTTAGCCAATCATAGATGAGTTTATAGGGACAACACCGAATTACACCATCGTAGAGACGTACACCGCAATGGCTAAATTGACCGTCTATAAAAGAGAAATGTTTGACTTATTTATCAGGTTTGAGTTTTTTCCCTTTACTCTAAAAGATAATCAGTTCATAGACAACGGTTGAGAAGAAGGACATTCAACTATGGAGGGGAAACGTGGAAAATCAGGCCGTACAGGACGAACTTTTCGATCTAAGTTTTCTCAGATCAAAGGTGGAAGAGTCGAAGGACTTCTGATACACTCTTCAGGCGTCAGTTCGCTCCAGGAAGAAAATCAACGTGTAGAAGAAGCGATTACCTACTCACTGGGAAAACACAATCGTTGGCTTCTTCCGGAAGTAATCAAGACCAGCTGTGTTAGCGCTGGATTCGATGAAGAACTTGTGTTGGTCGAGCGCTTTGCGAGCGCAAGCGGCAGGAAACATACTCGAGCAGACTGCATTTCTGTGTTTAATTCCAAAAATGGCACGTCGCGCAAACCCAGACGTAAGTTAGCACACTCAAAAGATTTACTTCGAGACGACGAGGAGATCAAATCTCGGTTTGAGGTAACCTACCCGAATCCCTCAGCATCATGGTTGAAACAACCCAAGAAACCCTCTGGTCATCATGGAAAAAAGAAGAAAAATAGTTGTAACTTTTCTTCCGCCACTGATTGCTTACTTGAAGATTATGATGAAGATTATGATGACGATCTGGTTGAAACTGACTTTGACAGTGAATTTGAGGAGGATTTTGGAGGGAAATTGGACAGATCTTCAAGCCTTGACCTGAACATGCTCATGAAAAAATCTACACCAGTTCTACAAACACATTATGGCAAAGAAAGGTCTTCTCTGAACAAAAATTGGAGGGAGAAACAAATTGATCCAGTACAGTCAAAGAGGCATTTCCTTGTAAGTGATGATATAGAAATGCACCAAATGCATTTGGAGTACTTGGAGGAAATCAAGGCAGGATCTTCCCTTTTAGATTCCAGAGAAGAACATAAAAAGTCAAACAAGAAAAATCAAAATCCTGAAGTGGGTAAGCAAAGGCGTCGTCGTGCAAGAAACCCAGCTGTCTCTTCAGTTTCAAGTAGCAAAGCAGCCAATGAGTCTGTACCACTACTTAAAACCTGTTCTGATCTAGTGGAATGTTCTAGTTCAGACACTGATGAAGGCATTGTCCTTACAATGAGAAAGCGAGAAATTATGCCAGAGACCCTTGCACAACAGTGGCCTCACATGTACAAGGAGGGTTCTAGTTTCCCCAGAACTTTTGCCCTCAGTTTAACATCGCTTATACCCCTGACCACTGGTGATGAAGTCTTTATCGCTTTCAGAATACTTAAGGACCATGCAAGGTGCCACTCAGGTGAAGTAAAAGCTGTAATGAGTATGGCTGTTTACAAAGACAACGATGCTTATGAAAAAACTGTCAAGGATTTTATTTCCCAGATCAGTATGATGCAAACTGATCAGAAAATTTGGACCATGCAAGAAATCACAGACATGGCCATTAGTTTTCATTCAGAGCTGGCAAAGAACATAAGTGTGAAGGTGCATTGCAAAGAGCCACGGAAACCGAGGCTGTCACTGGATGTTTTCCAAGATCTGTGTGGATGGACATCAAAGACATTCTCATCTCACACAGCCAAACGTCAAATAAAGAAATGTCTCTCAGAGGTCACATGCCACCCAGGGACATCCACTGCCGTTGTTCCTTTGGATAGCAATCCTGTGATGATGGAATCTTGTGGAATCTGTTTCCAAGAGGTTCAAGACAAAGATAAGCTTTCAGGTATATGTGACTGATAAATTAGACTATTTTTGGAAGGTCCAGCATGTATCATTTAAGCATTATTTTGATTACCCTCCTGCCTTCTTGATCTGTGTTAATCTGAAAACTTTTTCAGTAGTGATTTTAAAAGAATTGTTTTAATGCTTTATAAAAAATTGGTACCAAGATAGCAATTTTCCCAATAGGGTTGATATTCGTGCATGAAACCTTTTTAACTCTTTAACTCCCAGATCAAATTAGTAATTCTCCTTACTGTCAACCATACAATTCTTATAATGTTAGTTCAAAGAATTTAGTATTGGATCAACTAATTATCCCCAAATTGATATTTTTCTTTATTCTCATCACTCATCTGGTTGATATTGTTTTGATATTGTAAAGAGAAATTCTGTCTTGGTCAGTCATGGGAGTTAAAGGTTCGATACAACCCTGAGTCCTTAGAAAACAATGTCTAGCTACTCAGTGGTTTCCAATCATGTTTTAGAGCTCAGCTTTAGTGTTTGCATTCATTGCTTCAACTTAACCAGTTAGATAATATGATCAAGTCTTGAGAATCAAGAAAATGTTGTGTTTCAGAACATGATGGCATCGTTCCATTTCTGTCCTTGAATGGCTGTGGCCATAAGTTCTGTAACAGTTGTTGGAAAGTCCATTTGAAGACCCAGATTGATCTGGGCCAAATGAAACTGAGGTGCCCTGGGCATGAGTGTAGCATAGCAGTTGATGACATTACCTTGATGTCCCTCGCGCCATCAACAACAACAACAACAACAACCTTTATTTATGTGTCAAATCTAAAATAGCAGTTATACAACCACTAACTGGGGACACTAAATACTACCTAAAAATTTGAGAAATTTAAAAATAAAACAATATATATGTACAATTTAAAATCTAACCTAAGTCTTACATAAAAGGCAGTTTTCACATTTACTATCAGTCAATTTAGAAACAAGGTCTATTCTACGTATGTTACATTTAAAAGATGATATGGATGTCAGTTCTCTTACATTTCTTGGTACAATTGCCCATATTTTGGGTCCCATATATCTAAGCGAATGTTTTCCAAAAGTGACAGTATTAAATCTAGGTATACCAAAATCATTATTACGCAGTGTGTACCTAAGTTGTGGAATTTGAAAAAGGCTACATATGTAATTAGGAGATAAATTGTTCTTTACCTTATACATAGAATGGCTATGTCCTGTAGTCTTCTGTTCTGCAGTGTACTTAGGTTAGCCATGTCTAATAATTTATCATAACTACTCCCCTTATCACAGTAAACTGCCCTAAGTGCCCTTTCTTGAATACGTTCCAATTTTCTAGTATCACTCGCCCTACAAAAATGCCAGACAAGATGGCTGTATGTTAAATACGGAAGAATGGCTGCCTTAAACAACTTCAGCTTGGTGTCTGTTGGTATCATATTCCTGAGCCTCATCAGGACTCCAACACGCTGGCTACTCCTCTTACAAATGTTAGCAATGTGTTCATCAAATTGAAGCCTATTGTCTATATATACCCCAAGAAGTTTTAAACACTTGGTAGATTTAACTTCATTGTCATCAATTATAATACTATCCATATCATTATTTTTATTCCCAAGTGTCATTGTCTGATACTTGTCATAGTTCCCTTTTAAGAAATTCGATCTATACCATCTGGAGGCTAATTCGGCACTTGCTATTAACTTATCATGCACCTCAGTAACATTACTGCCTGCAGCATGGAACTGGTGGTCGTCTGCATACATATTGATATTAGAATTAGAATTTACACTGTATGTCAGATCATTTTGGAACATGTTCCATATCAATGGTCCAAATGCGGAGCCCTGTGGACATCCCCTTGACCCCCTCTCCCACTCACTCACTGTGGATCCCAACTTCACCCTATTGTACCGATCAGTGAAGTAGGAGTCCAACAATTTTAGACTGTTCCCCCGAATACCATAAGCCTTTAATTTAGCAAGTGTGAGTGGATAGTAGAGGGAATCAAAGGCTTTACTCATGTCCGTAGAAAGAACACCTACCACTTTATGTTCATCTAAAGATATCTTCCAATTCTCTGTCATAGCCAGTAGAGCTGTTTCGCAGCTATGATTTTTCCTGTAGGCTGTCAGTTTATCACATAATTTATCATTGAAACTATAATTAAGCTGTTTACTAAGTAACTGTTCAAAAATCTTATCTTATAGTAACTTGTACAGTTATGGGCCTATAGTTCTTTTTCTCATGGGGGTCCTCTTTCTTAAATACTGGTGTCCACTCTCCTTTCTTCCACACCGCAGGCCACTCACCCAATGTTATACATGAATTGTATAATGCTGTCAGAGGCCCTGATAGTTCTCTAGCACCCAGCTTAAATGCTTTGGGGGTGACACCATCCCAACCAGTACTCTTTCTGGGGTTAATACTTTCCAGTGCGGTCTCCACCTCAAGTATCTCCAGATTCCGAAACTGGAAGTCTTGATGGCCTATCATATTCTCTGTGATATTCCGAACACTTGAATGAGTCACAAAAGAAGAGTCAGTAATGCCTTCTGTGTCACCAATACCATCAGCAATGGTAGAAAAATAGTGACATAGATGATTTGCAATCTTACTTTGATCATGACTTATCGCTCCTTCAATGTTTAAGCTCAACTCATTAGTGGTACCCTTATTCCTCTTTTCACTCAAGAAGGGCATAAATGTTTTATAGAACTCACCAGGCTTACATTTCAATTTAGTAGTTTGATCTTTCCAATACTCCCTTATCGCCTTTCTCCTGAGTCTAGTGGCCTCGTTTCTTGCTTTACGTTTAGCCTCCCAATTCTCTCTGTTTTGCACCTTCAGATATTTCTTTGCTGCTCTTCTCTTAGCCCTAATGGCTTTTTTCCATTCGTTTGTCATATAAGGGACATCTTGAGTCCTCACTCTCATTTTCTTTTCCGGAAGATGCTCATCAACAATACTAGATAACAATGTTTCCAAAAAACTGGTCTTATCATCAGCAGTATCAAAAATTTCACCTACATGCCAGGGAGCCTGCATCAGTTCGTCCTTATACTTTTCTGCGTCAAGATGTTTAAATGATCTAAATTTAACAATCTTGCCTTTTTGAGGTTTTACCTTCTCATTCAAGAACCCATATACAAGTGCATGATCACTGATCTCTGGGTTATATACTCCACAGTCACCAAACAATTGTGGTTGGTTGGTGAGAATAACATCTATCAGACTGTGTGTAGTAATTGATCCTTGCATTTGTATCCTTGTAGGTGTGGTTATCATACAGTCAAATCCCTGTTCCACTTCAAGGTCAAGCAGTAGTTTACCCTCAGTGCTATCTGGCTTAAGCCTATTCAAATTCAAGTCACCAGTCATTATAACAGTTGAGTACTGCAATCCAGCCCAGTTGGAAATATGGCTCAGTTCTTCTTCTAGCAATAGTTGATAACTTCCAGTGACTTTCTTTGGTGGCCTATAGATAGCCACGACTATTGCATTTCTTGATTTAAGGCCAATCTCTAGTGCCAGAGGCTCGATTGTTTTGTATTTCCTTTCAATGGATATCCTCTTAGATTGTATCTTGGAAGAAACAAACATGAGAACTCCACCACCTCCTTTCTTCCTATCATTCCGGTGTAAATAATAACCCGGTATGAGAAACTGACAATCTGGGTACGATCCATCAATTTTTGTCTCTTACAGCCATAATTTGCACAGTTGATTTGAGAATAATATCCTTCAATTCCTCAAATTTATTCTGGATACTGTTTATATTTAAATGACACACCAATAAATCCTTGCCATTCTTTTGTCTGGCAGTTTGAAGTGGGTCAATCATCAGTGTAGCGTCCTCCTGTTCCAAGTCAGTCTCCACTACCTCCTCCGAAATTGCCAACGATTCAGTAATATAATTGCTCACATCATAGAATGGTAGCTGTTCCATTAAATGTCTAGAAATACACATTGGGCAGATCCAAACTTGGTTTGCAAACTGCTGCATGCGTTTGTACTCGAAAGGCTTCACACCACCACATTTAATGTGGTACTCACTTGAACATGAAGCACAGCATAATACACGATGATTACGAGCGATAGATCTTAAGCATGTGCTGCATTTATCAGGCCCTGGATTTGGTGAAATATCGCCACTGACTGCTAACCTTTCCAGCTGAAAAGTCGACTCTGAGTTCGAATATCGCTTGACCCTTGCTGCAAAGTAAGCGGTTGATGGTTTGTAAAATCCAATATGGCGGATAGCCATGTGGCGACGAATGTCGAAGAATATCACCAAATTCACGTTAAATGAAGCGAGAGTCGGCCGAGTTTCGAAGCCATTAGATTCACTGATGACTCTGCCAGCGAAATATACATCTGGCCAGAGTAAATGTGTGCAAAATACGCCAAGAAAGTACAGACTTACTGGGACTATCAAAGACACAGCCGCCATTACGCATATCAATTTCTTTTTTTGAAATCTCTGTTTGAACGGCTTCTGGCAAAGAGGGTGGACACCATGCTGGAGATGAGCCCCAAATGGAAATGGTGCCCTGCAGACCGGTGCAAGTTGGTTGTCAATGCAACAACAATTCAAGACTCCTCCAAGACTTGTTATGCAGAACACAGTGGTAGTGTCCAGCCTATGCCAGTGGCATGTGTCTGTGGTACCATGTGGTGTTTCAAGTGCCAGGAAGATGCTCATTGGCCAGCTACCTGTGAGGAAGCTCAGGAGTTCAGGCAGAAGAATGCATCTTATGCTCGATTTGCGACAAGGAAGGAAAAAGAGCTGATTACCAGTGTACAAGTGAAGCGCTGTCCCTCCTGTTATTACCCTGTAGAAAAGGGTCTTGGTTGTAATCATATGACATGCATCTTCTGTCGCAAGGAATTCTGTTGGTCTTGTTTACAAGACTGGTCAGTGTCTACTATTAATCACTCACAGTGTAGACTTGTTCAACTGACAAAAATTCAGCTGACCACAAAATGTGTAAACAGTGTGTCTTATCAGCATATTGCAGTTACAAGTCGGGTTGCCAGGGCTTCAAGTTTGATATGTCAGATCCACAGAAAACTTGACAAGATAGAACATGATCTTAACATTTATTCTAAATGCTTTCCCCTAAGACCAGAACTAAAAAAGACAAGCTGTACAGAGCAGCAGCTCAAGAAGCTTTGTGAGAATAATGCTGTCCATCTGTTAAAGAAAGTGTTCAATTTTAAATTCCAAGCACATTTAGCATTAGAGGGGCTGGCAATTAGGTTGTCATTTTCAAATGGTGCTGTGGGCTGTAGTAAGAAACTTGCTTTGGAGTTTAGCAGGTTGTTTTTTATTGTGGAGAGAATGGAAAATATCCTTCATGACTTGAATTGTTGTCTTACTAGGAGAGAAATTTTATCAAAACTGAAATATTTTATTAAGTTTGGTAAGAAGTGTATTCTTTCAATCGGCAGGAGAGTGAATGAGTATCATTGAAATCTTGTAATTAAGCAGTTTTGAAAAGTATTGTCAGCAATGGTTGTTACTAAACAGAAATGACGAAAGTGAAAGCAACTGAATAGAAATTTTCATATATTAATTATGATTTAAGAATTAATTGTTCTTTTTAATTATCACTGCAAGACTCTACTGTTTATTTTATTTTGTGTGACACTGTATAATGTTTATTTTAAATTTGGCCTTTGTCCTTCTGGGGCAATCAGTGTGGGGCTTTTCATTTTAGCTTTAGAACACATGTTAATTTGAAGGTTAATTGTCATTAGATGAGAGAATTTAAGACCAGTGGATATAATTTTTTTGGTTATTCCTGAGAAGAGAGTGCTTTATCAATGCCACATCCCCATCTTGGATCTCTTTGTTCATTCTCATTACCTTTATGTTTAGGAGAATTGTCATACTGATCATTCCTGAGAGTCAAATTTTAAAACAATTTCTTTGATGCTGGTTGCTAAGCAATTCATTTAAATTACAGGTTATACTCTGTTGAAGTGAAACCAAATCTTATTTAACTAGTGGTATGATCGGGAAATGTTGTGGCACTGAGTGAGAAGAATTGGGACTCAATTTTAAGTAACTGAACATGTAAGAGTAAAGCATTGATTTCAAGCAACCAGTTTATTTTCCTTTCACTGTTGTATGTCTACATATTGAGGAATATTTAATGAAAATAAAAGTCCTGCATATTACCTTACTTGTGATGGCATAATGAACATGCAATTTATGTAATTTTGAACTGCAATGAAAATAAAAATTAAGGAAATGGGATGAGAGTTTGATTGTATCTTGCAAAAAGTTAATACTTTACAAGATATTTTAAAAACCAAGAATGAACTAGGAGGAGAGGGGATAAAACCCATAAATCCAGCAATTTATAGTGAATAAATATCTAGTGTGAAGCTGATGACTAACTTTGCGTTTCATTCATTTTGAAAGGAATTTGTATTTTACTTATCTCTGGCATATCAAATTGATAATCTAGTTTTTCAATTGCCTTTTTTTAGATCTCAAAATGTGATTTTCAAGTACATTTTTGCATACCCCATAAAGTGATAAATTTGTGAGGAAGAGAAGATAATAGCTGGAAATATGATCTTAAAGGCTATTCTATTCGGAAAATTTTCATGTGCTTTTATATTTTTCTCCAGTCCATGTATGTACTATAATAGTGAAGTGACATAGGGGTTCATTTTCTCTTTATTAATGTTCTTTCATTTTTTATTTTTTTTTAACTTTTCATCCATTTATCCGGTCAAGTACGGAAGTTACTCAGTGAGACAATTAACCACAAGTCAGGGAGAGGAGTAGAAGCGGAAGCAAAAACACAGAAAAAAATCGGGAAAAGTAATTAAGGGTTGAAATGAAGGGTAAAAATGATGAACAGTTTCCAATTCATTTTTGAAGCTAATGTATCTAATACCTAACAGTTTAATGAACATTTTATGTCAGGTTATCTATTTTCAGGCCAGTAATAAATTATTGCGCAAGGCCTATAACAACACCCAATGGGCAGGATTCTTGCGAGCAAAAGGACGCGCGCGAGAGGAGCGCGGAGAAGACAGAGGGGCACTGAAAATAAGTAAGGTCATACTGACGTCATAGCGTGATATTTTTAAATACACACTTGGTATCCACCCATATTAGGAATTCAGATCTTCTGTACTTACGACCCTGGAAGATTCATCGAGCCAAGTTGAGCCAAACGCTTCGCTTTTCACCTGTACCCATAGTCATTCCTTACCACTTAAGTTGTTGCTGGCTACGATTTCAGGTAACTTTATCAAGATGTTGTCTTTGATCTCAAAGCAGACCAGTCAATTTCGATATCTAAACCTATACTTATTCTCACACCTCTATTCGGAACTGTGTTACTCGTAAGATAATTTTTAAAAAGGAATATCTATGGAAAACTTTTCCAACATTCCATTACCTAAAACGGTATGTAAACCAGTGACATTGGAAGTTTTTATCTTTGACTCTTATTATCGTGGACGAAACTTGACTGAAGCTACAGCTGCAAGTAATGATAAATTTTACGGTAATTAGATAACGGTTTTAATTAACATGTGACTAACACAGTCTTCTGACTGTACAATTTTATGCCACTATCTGCGTCGGTGTGCATACTATAAGATTTTAAGCGTTAACTAACAGCGTAAAATCTCTTAGTATGTATATATACCGTCTGGAAGAAAGTGCGCCGTTAACTATTACGCCGTTATCGATCTATATTCCCCAAATTTTGGAGTGGATAACGACGGACAGAGGTGTGAATTAATTTTCAGACTGAATCCCCTTTTAGGTCTACAACACCGTTATTTACTAACTAGTTTCCGATTGGTTTTGGGAAGATCTCCTCATTCTATTCTCTATCGTGTACATATTTCGATGCGTGACATGTACATTTGACGAAAGCTAAGCTAGAGTACACTGCAACCATGAATTAGCGTGTCTCACCCGTTGAATGAAAGAGGTGTTGGTAACTTGATTGCAGGCAATTAGTCTGGGAAATATTCAAGTACAAAATACAGCAACTTGATTTTATGGATGAGTGTGAGTTGTAGATTGATAACTTTCTTTCTTTTCTCTCACTTTACTTTCATCGATCACTCTGAATTTCAATTCTTTTGAAGTGAACTTAAATTCTTTCTGAAAGATTCATGTCTCTTCAGAGAAGAATTTGTTATTCCAGATTCTTCGTTCTCAGAGGAGAATCACAATTCTGAGGGGAAGAAATCTGCTTCTTGAGGAAAGAGCTGTGCCGATCTTCTCCCAAGGTTAAGATTTCTTATCTATTTCATTTACGCGCTATGTGATGATGATCGTCATGACAATTTTGACAGACGCTCGTTGTAGTTTACCTATGTAATTGATAACGACGCCGTGTTGACGGTGAGCGGAGTTATGTAAATTTTTGTTAGTAATGGTCGCTCAACATTTCAGATAACAGTAAAATGGTTTCGCTTAGTCGTACTGTTACATTCACATTTAAGATTCAAGAACGAATCAAATTGTTCGAAAAGTAGCCGGGCGGTCTTGCCTACTTGTAAAACAAATATGTTTTTAAACTTGACGCTAACCGCAAACGGTAGAATGGAATCTGATTTTCTTCACTCATCCTATGAACCTAAAATCATCCCGGTAAAACATTAGGAAATTATGTCCTGTTCCAGGAAACTGCAAATAATTTCACATAACTTTACAGACGAAGGAATGTAAACTATTCAAGTTCTGCTGATAGCAGCCAACCGTAAACTTCAACGACAACAACTTTATTGAACCTAATATTTCATGATCTTGTTCGCTTTCTAAGGAGGTACCCAGCGGTGGGCAAGCCATTTCAAGAATGAACTAGCACAGAACGCTTCGGAACAAAACCACGTAATGTCACCGACATCGATCGGAATCCCTCCTTAGTTCTAAATCTAGCACATTATTCAAAGTTAAACAAAGGGTAAAACAAAAGACAGTAGATAGAAAATGGGGTTTCTGGCGCATTTTAAAAGCAACTTTGATTTAAAGGCAAATCATGAATTTAACCTTGAAATCAAGGTTGACTTGAAATCAACCTTGATTTCAAATAAACGGCTTTTTGAGCATTTTGGAGACAACCTTGATTTTAAAGGCAACTTGAATTATTCACAGGTATTGAATAATTTCACACCCTCTTCAGATTATTGAGAATGTGTCACTCGTGAGTTCTGAAGAGGGTGTGAATATTATCATCTCTAATGATTCTCTTGTCGCGTCATCAGCACGTTGAAAGGGTGTTGATTGTTTGTGTGAAGATTTTCAAATATCAATGTTGTATCTTCTCGCTGAGAAGTCGTGATGTGCCTTGATTTGTTCTTCTGTCAAAATCGTGTCTTTGTAAATGAGAAGTTATTTCATTAATAATTCAGGCTTTCAAGCTCACGTTGGATGATGTTGAGCTGAGCATCTGAGAGGATGACTGATGTGACATTTAACTGACATTCTCTGAGCCGGACGCTTTTCCTTTCCTTTCCAGTCACCAGTACCGACAACAGTCCTTCTTAGGACTACACTCACCCGGATGATCAAACCATACTAAGATTATTGTCTGAGGGGATGAAGATGTGACATTTAATATTCCCTGAGCTTGACGCATTCCTGTTGATTGCGAGCTGAACTCCTTCCTTCGTATTCACCAATCTCAAATCTCAATCCATTTTCATGAAGATTATTGTCTCTCATACTCCTGAGATAGATGAATAGACCGAATCTGTCTCCGGCATAAAAGTCTGTTGCATTCATCTCGCTGTTTTCCTTTTCAAATCTTTTAAAGACCTCTTCCCACATATCTCTTGTCTTCATTCCTCGACTGTAAACCTTATTAGGGATTCCATTGACAATTACCTTCATTTCAGTGATGTCAGGATTAAATGTCTTCTCACTGTCTATCGCACCAGCGACATATGGCTCGTAAAATTGAAGAAGAAGTCCCTTCATTGACCTCCTTGGAACATTGATGCTCTCACTGAAGATCGTGTCTGATCCCTTATCGACTGAGATTGTCTTGAGATGAGTTACTTGCTCCTACATTGATCTCTTTCCATTTCGTAGTTAGACAAGGCCTCATCAGCGAGTTCTTGACAGTGAATGACTTCATACTCATGCTGGATGTTAGTCAATTCAAAGGCGAGCTGTGCCTCATCAGATCCGATTACAACACTGCCGACGGGTGCAAGCCTGAGCTCGAAAAGAAGCTTATCAGAAAGAGCTCTTGGGAGGAAGACTCCATCATCCTTTAGAATCTCATAATCCAATGGAATCCTATATTTGTTCTCATAAACATCGTTGAGCTTATTCTCCTTGTCAACTCCTCGTTTATTCTTATCTTCAGCATTGCATCTGATCTTGGAAAGATCAGCAGGCTGAATACCTTCTCTGATCATGCTTGCTTTCTCATTCTCAGCCAAGAGGAGGTCTTCATAGAGCTCGAAAGGATCATAACCATCAATGCCCTGCACGATTTCTCCCGCGAATTTCACAGTCAACCTGTCAGCAAGAGCTCTTGCGACATTATTCACGATATAATTGTGTGCGTGACCACTGGCTGCCAAGTCAAAGATGAGTGAAATAGATCCTGTAACTGGGACTCTAAGTGTCCCACGTTGAGATGCCCTATTGGAGTTAAATGTTACTCTGTGAATTATACGGTCCGCTTTAAGGGCGTTTGACCTCTTTTTTCAAAACTTGGTTTGGTTTTTTCACTGAATTCCATTTTTAAAAGATTTCATTTAAAATGGCAGAATTTGGAGATACTGGTGCTATGCTTGACAAAGAAGGAAATACAAATGATGGAGATGATGAAGATGATGGAAATACAACAGGACACTTTACCCTTAATCCTCATTACAATTCAACTCCCGGTCCCTTAGGTGATCAATATGAAATGACCACATTGAATAGGGAGGCTTGTGCACCGAGAATGCAATAGACGAATGCCTCAATCGGCTGATTCAATCCCGCCATCCCGGCCTGCGTCAGACCTTCTGACTGATTTGCCATGAAAAAGTCAAACTGATTTTCAACATTTTTGTTGTCACTCCGGATGAAATAAATCAGATTGCCTTTGATAGCTTTTCCACTCTCATCGCTGAACTTGTTATTACCAGGATAAGAGTTTGAAGTTGCTGACGGTCCAAGTATTGTCACATTAATGGAAACGGATCCGAGACCGTGATCATCACCTTCTTTGAAGCAGAAGTCTGTACGTGATGAAATTCCAAATTACACACATTTTCGTTTGAACGATGGCGTGCCATAATTATCATTTATCTAATTGAACGTTGGGTCATCTGGAACAGCCGATTTACTTCCACCCATCTCAAAGAGAATCCTTCTGACCGTGAAGTATATATGAAACATCAGAAACGACTTGATCTGTTCTGCAATTCTTATCAAACACTTCACGAGATATTCCACAGCCTGTTCTTGCGCACCATACTGCGAAGTTGAGCTGTTGAGACCAGTAGCTCATATTTGGTCTCGCAAGCCATGTATTTGATCCTGCACCTGAAGAGTGCTGGATTTTCATTCTTGTGAATATTCCTCTGAATTTTGCTTTAAAGTATTGGGATGGGGTAACACAAATCTCAATCTCCTCATTCAAGCGGCCGACGTCATTCACGTTCGATGGAACTGCTGGCACTTCCTTCTTCTATTCGATTCCGAGTGAGTTCATGGGAAAACCTCCAACTCCAAGTGCCTTCTTCATGTCATCTTCCAAATATCTTCTGTCTGATCCTGAGACGCTCGACTGAACTCCATCTGATCGACTGAAGTAAACTTCACCTGTTGCCTGTCTTTCATCATTGAACGACGATTGGGCATTGAACTTGCTCAAGTCTGCATTTGGGTATCGTGCTTTGAAATCACTCCAGGCTATTGTCTTAGCTTAATCTTCAGTTTTATTACCTACGTCTGATCTTAGCCACGCAAACATTTTTATAATCAGTATGATTGTGCTTATAATTTTTGCAGATTCAAATGATCACACGGTTTACTTCAAAGAACTTCCCGGCAGCGAAAAATATTAACATATCAGGCTCGTGAGTTTTTCTCCTTACAACACATGGTTTAATTTGAAGCGAAGTAGAGAAATCTCTGTATTCAATGCCCAGGGCAGTGCAATTGTAAAGAGAATTTCAGAAGGTAATTATTCACTCAAAAGCCTTGGCCAAGATCTTCAAGATGCATTTAAGAGTAAAGGAGTGAAGGTTGAAATGAATACTCCGCAAGGAGTTCGAAAATCCACAGTCCTCAAATAAGCATATCCTTCTCGACCATGTGTTTTTCACTCGTATGTTAATTTTTAAAGATAAATATCTTTAGGAAACCTTTTCCAGCATTCAATTGCAATGCACCTGGAACGGTAAGTAAACCAGTGATGTTGGAAGTTATTACTTTAACTCTTATTATCGTAGATGAAATTTCACTGAAGCTACAGCTGTAAGCAATTATAAATTTTGGATTGGATAACGACGGACGGAGATGTAAATTGTTTTTCAGACTGAATCCCTTTTTGGGTCTACAATACCGTTATTTACTAGCCAGTTACCAATTGGTTTTGGGAAGATCACCTCATTCTGTTCGCTATCGTGTATTTCGATGCGTGACATTGGACGAAAGCTGAGCAGGAGTATACACTGCAATCCAAGAATTAGCATGTCCGACCCGTTGAATGAAAGAAGCGTCGGTAACGTGATTGCAGGCATATAGTCTGGGAAACATTCAAAAACACAATACAACAACCGGATTTTAAAAATGAGTGTGAGTTGGAGATTGATAACTTTTTTTCTTTTCTCTCACTTTACTTTCATCGATATCAGTGAGCGATATATGTTTAATTGGCGTTTAAAACACCATAAAGGTCAAACTGTTCTCTCAAAAATACATATGATTTCATTGCATGCTCGTTGTAACATTGCATTGCTATGAACTTACGCGAAAGTAAAATAGAGGCCAAAGCAATGAATAACTGCACTTACCAACTACTCTAGCCTCAGTGGTCGAAAGCCCCCTTTAAGGAAACAGCAGAATTATAAACGAAAAAAAGTTGTTACTCTGCGGCTCAAAATGTAAAATTTAAGGCCGTTGTTTTCTTCTCCTCTCAACAGGGATAAGGCCGAAATAGAATAAAGGTAATGGCTGGTGAAGGCGCAAATTTAGCTGCGGCTGGAGCCGGGGCGGTGTTTGAAGTGGCAGCGTCAGCAAATACATCAGGCTTTTTTTTCTCAGTGAAAATAGACAGCCCCATTCTGGCAGGAGTCGCGCTGGCTGGAGCCCTGTCGTTGGGTGCATTCTACTTGTCTAAAAAGCATTCTGTTGAAAATGCCATAAGGAATGCCTTAGAAGAAAGAAATGAAAACGGAGCTGATCCTGAAGTCAGGAACATCGGGGATGGTTCAATTTTGGTGGAGCTTTACTGTCATACAGATCGTAGTTTGTTACAGTTCGTGGATGACCTTGAAGCAGAGAAAGTAAAGCATAGATTGCAAAAAGAGTTTTCTAGAATTGGATTCAACAGGGAGTTAGTTGTAACCATCAGGAATGCCAAAGAGGTTTACAGGAAAGTGCAGGAAATAAGGTAACAATCTGAGTCATTTTGATCCAGTGACCCAAACCTTTTTACTCGCTTTCGAGTACTGCGATGAAATAGGAAGTCTGGGAATGAAAATGAGATTGTAGATTTTGAATCCTTGCGTTCATTGTGATACAGTTGAAGTATTACCTTCAGAATCTCTTACAGCGTGCATGAATAACAATTTATTTCAGGTTTTCGCGTTCGCGAGAAGTCACCCACGCCGCGCCAGTACGAGAAACACAGATGCAGAAACTCAACCTCGGTAACAGATGTATGTATCTAACTCTTAACCACTTATCAGTTTCATGTTGCATGGAAATATGCTTTGTCCTCAGGCCATCAAGCCTCTTTTACCAATTTGTTTGGTTCACTGTGACCCTGCAGAGACCAAGACGAGAATTTAGTCACTGACTACGTCAACATTAGAAATGATGTCAGGGAAAAATAGGAGAAGGATTTCTGGTGATCAATATTTTCTTAATTTTTTTCTTTCCAGGCGATCCCGAGGCTCCACACGAGATCAAACTAAGAGTGGTGCCTCAAAATCTTGATGTTAAAAAACAAGACACGTCCAGTCACCAATTTTCTGCGGACATAAATATGTTCCTAAAGCAAAACACATTTTCTCCAACTGAAGGACTGAATGCTTTCCTGAAAGGTTTGGAAGATATTTACAACCTGAGCACTCAAGCATTAAAATTTGACGGTCTAGAAATACGAGTGGAATGTGTTACCCTGGGAAGCCTTGAAAGACTCTGGAGATACTTCCTCTCTCGCCGCCTCAATGAAATAGCTGAGATGTGCATTCTAACCGATGAAGTAAAAAAGAAACTGAACCTGAAAAATATGAGACTAACAGCTGTCATTAAAGAAGAGGACTACGAGACATGCAGAAGGTCTTTCATTGAGCGAGTGAAGCCATCAAGCGCAGTTAATAGTCAAGGTACGTACTGCACTTAAACTGCTTGTTGCACTTGATAAAAAAAAATCATCCTTATAGTTGATAACCATCATCCTGTGTAACTCTTGAGTAGATGAATCAGATGATCTCCTGACAGAAGTCGATCGAATCAAAAACCTTCGGATTAGTACCTCGGATGGGAATGTTCGACTCACTGAGCTGAGCTGTTCATTACATCAACAGACAAAAAACGTGCTATCTCCATAACTGAAAAGCACAGGATTAGAATGGGAATAAGTGCAAATGATCATTATTCGGTAAATAATTACACCTTCAACTGGTTGCCACTTCACCCAAGTTGCGACAGTAGTGTATATCATAATTTGAGAAACACGACTTAAAGTGTTCCCTTTAGAGTTCATCAAGACCTAAAAAAATACATCTTCTACAACTCGTTACTTTAAGCTAGCTGATCAGATGAAAAGCATCACGTGATACTTAAATTCTTCGCCAGCTGATGGATTTTTCGCTCTGTGCTTGAACGAAACCCTGTTTAAAAGCCTGTCCGAGAGGTTGTAAGGAAGGGAAAAAGTTGATTGTAAATAGTTGATTGTAAATAGTTGAATCGAGATTTTCTTGATTTTTTAGGCGCCGTTATGGAACTGCGTGAGATAACAGTTAAAATCACCACCCACAATGCTGGTGGTGAAAATCTGAAGGAGTCCAACCAAAATTTTGAAGCCGACGTTTTAATGTTCCTTAACTGCAACACATTTTCACCAACGAAAGGAACGGGCGACTTTCTTAAGTATATTGAAGATGCTTATAACCTACGCACCAAAGCATTGGGGTTCGGCTGCCTAGAGATAGGATTGAAATGCGCAAACGCAGAGGGCCTTACACGTCTGTGGACGGACTACGAGTCAGGTCACCTCAATAAAACTGCAGAGAGATGCCTTCTGACTGATGAAGTAACCGAAAACCCTCAGATGAAAGATGTTAGGGTGAAAACGGTTATCAAAGATGGTGAGTACTTCGCATGTAAGAAATCGTTTTTTGAACCAACGAGGCCAAATAAAGAGGTTGCTAGTCCAAGTAAATCTTAGTCTCCTTCGCAACCGTTTTTTTGAGATGTCACGTCTGGTTTTGTCATAGAAATGTTCGTAAGGAAAACCGGCTGATAACCTGAGCACTGACTCATCAAATTTACATTATGAAATATAAAACCCAATTTACTGTGTCCTTTTTGGCCTTTTTTAATGGTCACCCACCATTTCCGCAAATTTAAAATCAAAGCTTAAGATTTAATAACTACTGGTTAAAGCCGTCAACTTTCGGAGAATACCTCAGTGGATGAAAAACGTTACATCCGCCTTAAATTGCTTTTCTCGCTGATGGTTTTCTGAACCTTTTTCCTAGACAGAACATTTTTTCTTACTTATTAATCAATGGTCTGCTTCAGAAGCTGAGTAAAGTCAAAGCGAACAATAATAATAAATGATTTGGTTGATATCCGATTTGAATTTTTTGTTAATTTTCTCAGGCACCGTTACGGAACCACAAGAAATGTCAGTTAAAATCACCAGCCATAACGTTGATGCTGTAAAAAAGGAGAAATTGAACCAGTATTTTCAAGAAGAGATCAAGAACTACAACGCGTTCTGTCAAACCGAAGTACTCGGTGACTTCCTCGGCCGTTTAAGAAACAAGTGCAATGTACGTATAAAAGCAGTAGGAGTTGGATCCTTAGAAATACGAGTGGAATGCCCCACCCTGGAGAGTCTTGAAAATCTGAAGAGCGATTATTGTTCTGGTTACCTCGATGAAATGGCTGAGAAGTGCATCCTGACTGATGACGTAAGACAGAAACTTAATCTGAAAGATGTCAGCTTAAAAGCTGTTATTAGAAAGGAAGACTACGACAGATGCAGAAAATCTTTCTTAGGACCCGTGAGGCCATCAAGCGAAGTTACAAATCCAGGTACATGTCTAAAGTACTTCTTGCATGTAAAAAATTTGAAAGTACATTGTGCTAACTTTTACAGCATACGTAAGCTAACTTTATCACCGCCTACGCTGAGTACCCAAAAAACAAATATGGGACATTAAGACTCTATTACTCACTTTTACCGAAAGCAAAGAAAAAATTTGTCAGTATCGAAAGAGAAAAAGAAACTCAAATGATATTTGATGAAGGTGACAATTCGTGTTGTTCTGAATAAATCGTGAAAATGGCCATATAATTGCGTTCGCATCCTCCTTCTTCTACTTCTCCTCCTCATCGTCATTTTCACCATCATTGTCGCCGTTTCATGCACCAATCACATTTGAGGAAATCGTAATGGTTATGATTAAAAAGAAATTCAACCCCGGTAAAGTTTTGTTTCGTTTCTTTTCGAACGATGTCATATGTTTGTGTTTCCTAAGCGTTACAATATCGATCATAACAACAGAGTGAACATCCAGGGGCGACTTGTAATCATTAAAGGGTCAGAATCAAAAGAAAGTAATGATTAAAATTTGGTGTATCTGGGAGTCGAATGTTATACATCGGAGGGGAGTCTTTCGAAATTAAGAAGCCGATATTTTGTGAGCAAACTGTTAAGGGACATTCTAGTGTAAGCTGCTTAAGCCTTAAGTCACTTTGTTTTTATATCAGTTAAATTTGCCATTATATGTTTGGCGTTTCATTTTAAGAAAGTATTCTATCTTATCACACAGACCATTCGAAGTCACAAGCTGAAGGAAACGGTTTAAAAGAAGCCGAGCAGGGTGCCGAGGCTAACTTCACAATAACTACACGAGATTCAGAAGGAAAACCGTTTTATAGCAAACAAGAACGCGTGACCGTCACAATCAGATCTCGAACATGGAGAGAAAAAGTAAAAACCATGGACCTTAAAGATGGCAACTACACAGTCTATTACAAACCAATGAGTGCTGGGCGACACGACGTTACGATTGTGATTAACGGATGGCCGCTGACTGGTAGTCCCTGGAGAGTTAACGTGAAGCCACATCAGTACAAAGTAGTCAAGTCGTGTGGGTCAAGTGGAAAGGGAGAAGGAGAATTTTCAGAACCGGGCGGGATTGCAAAGAATGAAATAACAAGAGAAATTATTGTGGCAGATGTGTGGAATAGCCGCCTTCAGATTTTTGATGAAAATTTGAAATACCTCAGGACGATAGGAGGTGAGTCGGGATTACCAATAACTCCAAATGTGAAGATTCATAGGATTTCGTCTGTAGCAGTCTCATGGTTTGGTGATATGATCGTCCTTGATAATGATTTGGGTATAACACAAATGCTTGTAATCTGTCATATTAGTGGGTTTGCCCGAAAGTTTACGGAGCACGTAATTACTCCACGGACTGTTTTTGTCACAAATGATGATGGTCACGTGATCGTGTGTGATAATGCTGACGGTAAAATTAAGGTCCTTTCCCCTGACGGTAAAGAATTGCTACAGTCTTTCATTGCCCCAGATTGCGACAATAGTCTCAACTGTGTATTTTATCATCAGGAAAAGTTCTTTGTGTCGTATTCCACTGCTGGCTGTGTTAAGGTTTTCAATAAGGAAGGTTTATTTCTATTTAATATTGGAAGCAAGGGGTCTGGTGAAGGACAGTTCAACTGTCCCTGGGGCCTTGTTGTTGATGCTTTTGATAACCTGATCGTCATTGACATTCATAATAAAACAATGCAAATGTTTACCCTAGATGGGGAATTTCTCGGTTCATTTGATGAAGAAAACCGAAATCTCAGGGATATAACAGTTTGTAAAAATGGTGACTTGCTGGTTACTAATATCAGTCGAGACAATTGCGTTCTGATTCTACGATAAAATCCATTTATCCTTTTCTTAAAGTTTATATCTATCCAATTTCTCGATGAACATTTTACCATGAACTTGTTGTTGCTTATTTCCTTTTCAATCTGCAATGTCACCGGAAGCCATATCAGTAAGGTACTTGCCACCAGATACGCTCGCGTGATCTTCGACCAACGAGGGCCTCCCTTTTCACGCTTCGCCGCTAACACTACAGATCTGTATTTTCGCCACTGCAAGTAAATGTTGCGAGAACAATAGATATTCTGTCATATACCTTTAGTCGCAGTTTATATTATTCTCTGTGCATTAAACATCATGTGATTGATAATAACGAGGAAAAAAATTTTACAAATTACGCTAACTTAATTGCACGTAGTTAAACGTATATGTTAAGATATACCGACGATTGTTTTTGTTGTTGTTTTTTATCTGAAAACTTCGTTGGAAGTAAATCGCATCGTAGTCAGCTATGTTCAGGGCTGATCGGGGTTGGGTGAGATGCTGTAGAGATATTGATATAAGCAATTTTTCTCTCCATGAGATACCATTTCATGTATTCCTAAACATTGTAAAAGTTTTTTCACCAAACACTACAATTACTTGAAGATTTTTACTTGTTTCTGTATACCAGGTACCAAGATCTGATTACGAACGAAATACAGTCGAATCTGTATTAACCCTTTAACTCCTAGAAGTGATTAACATGTAACTTCTCCCTACAATATCCACACACTATCCAGCCTACATGTAATGAGAATACTCAAACCTATCAGGTAGAAGTTCCTATCTTGATCTAACAACAAAATCTTGTAAACTAATTTACAAGGAAATGTGTAGCAGGAAGAGGGAGAGAACTGACAATCAGATCATGGGAGTTAAAGGGTTAAGCAGCACCTTATTAAGCGCTGTTAAGCACTGTTTGAAGCGGTCGGTTGTCAAACTCCAGAAATATTTACCGGCTTCATTGCTGTAATCTTCACCTCTATGGGCCATTCACCTAACGCTATTAAGCGACCGTGGTCGCTTAAATGAGTCCAAACGGCCTGTTTATATATTGTCTTCCACCTGTACTAAACAGTCACTTAAACCGTAACAACACATATAAAACCAAGAATTATCACGTAAAATTTAATCCATATTTATCTCCCGAAGTCAATGTTAGTAGCATCATTGAGCGACTTTTTGTACATTAAGTAGTAAACTATGGAATAAAATGACGTTTTATATCGTTTCGTTATAATACCCTTTTCTGTGGAACCTGTATTAAGCGGTAAGGGCCTCTATGATATAATCAAAGTTTGAGAAAATGTTTTAAGATTTCAGAAAAACCCGTTAGATCCCTTCTAAACTACCGTAGCAACTCATGCCTAACCTCAAACGTAGCCTCTTTCAAGCTGTCAGTCGGAGAAGAACAGCGAAGGGGCGGCCGTTTAGCAAGCAACGGAGGCTTTGGTTGTTAGGGGGGCCACCTAACTTCGCTTTTTTTTCTTGCGCTTGTGTTTTGGCTCGTGACCACACTAAACGAGCCTGACTCAAGCTTAGACTCCACCAGGGTACATGATCTTTGCAGCAAGGGACATTGGAATTCAGTTCGAAGCAATGTATCTTTGCCATGATAAAAACAGCACAAAATTCAAATTGTCTGCCAACAGGTGAAGAATAGCACGCGAAGAATTATTTAGGGAAGCTACAACGCTCAAGAGCATGTATGTGTTAGATTGATGGACACTGATCTCTGAATGAATTATTGGTTTAGACGAGGCATAAAAGCATTCTGAGCAAGATTTTAATTTCAATGAGAAAAAAAAAACAGATTAGACATCATTTGAAGCTAGCAGTATCAGCTTACCCTCTTTGACTTTTGAATTAAGTAATAAAAGTAATAGCTCTTTCCCCTTTTGAATGCTTAATAAGAATGAGCTCTTAAACCTTAGCCCGAACATGGGTGGTCCTTTATAGCATTTTTCGAGTAATATTCTTGAATTATTTCACTTTGTTTACATTTTCGAGTGTTGTTTAGTTCTTCCTTTTCTGCGAGGTATCGAAAAGTTCCATGTGATTTGATGAAGACTATATTATAAGTCTTATGTTTCTGCCGCTTAGAGAATATAGGTAAGGACGGCATGTAGCAAATTAGCAAGGGGGAGGGGAGGGAGAGGAAGAGACTGCTCTCGTGAGCATGCTCTACAATGCATCTCTTCCAAAGGACTACCAGGAGCGTGGCTCCGTTCCCATTGTGTTCAAAGTAAGAGTGGATAATGTTTTTTTTTGTTTCAAAATTGTGTGAAAACGAAAAAAGGCGTTAAAAACAGTCGATTTTATCCGTTAACGAAGTGTCGACAGGGATTTTACCACGGGATAACAGAAAAAACAGTCAACTCCCGCATTCGACTGGCACACCGCATTCATGCTTCGTACCTGATGAAAACCTCGTCAGTCACCAAACACCTGTTATCTCAAAATTCTTCATCTGCAACGCAATGGAACTCAGTAAAAATTCTAAAATTAAGGACAATCTAAATAATAATAATAATAATAATAATAATAATAGGACATTTAGAATGCGCAAATTCCATAAAATGTTCAAATGTCCAATGATTGTTCATGTTCAAGAGAATGTCATTCATGACATGAAAAGAAAACAAACACTTTCACTGTTATACTGAAATATAATATATCAGTTTATAAAATAATTCAAATAGTACGCGCGCTCTGATTGGCCATAAAACCATTTTACATGAGCGTATGTAAACACGGTTTTCGTTCCTCTTTCATTAGTTATTTTATAAAAGAAATGTAAAATGGTTTCCGTGTTTACATAGCCTGATGTAAACACTTGGGAGGTTGGGAGAACACTCGATAAGCTGGAAACCACTCCGCTTCGCGTCGTGGTTTCCTACGCTTACCTCGTGTTCTCCCAACCTCCCAAGTGTTTACATCAGGCTATGTAAACACGGAAATTTTACATTTTTTTTCATTGTCACCGCTCCTAGGACTATTGAAGCCTCTGTCCGATATCCGAATAGTAATCTTTGAAACTGAATAAGAGTTTGTTTAAAGTTAACTATATAGAAACTATTAATAAATAAATAACAAAAGATAATAATTAGAAAAAAAAGCGTTGTAGTGAAGTTTGGAAATGATGATCAGTTTCCAATTCATTTTCGGAGCTAATGTATCTAATACCTTACTATTCAGTGAACATTTCATGTCACTTTAATCTATTGTCAGGCCGTTTATAAATTACTGTACAAGGCCTATCATAACAACCAGTGGGACAGGATTCGCGCGAGCGAAAGGACGCGCGAGACAGGAGCGCGGAGAAGAGAGAGAGAGAGAGGCACTGGAAATAAGTCTGGTCATACTGAAGTCATAGCGTGACATTTGATACACACTTGGTATCCACCTAGATTAGGATTTCAGATTTTCTGTACTTCCGCCCCATGGAAGATTTGTTCGAGTCAAGTTCAGCGAACTGACACTTCGCTTCTCGCCTGTGCCTAGAGTCATTCCTTACCACTAAAGTTATTGCTAGCTACGATTTCAGGTAATTTTATCATGATGTTGTCTTTGATCTCAAAGCAGACCAGTCAATCTCGATATCCAAACCTAATGAAATTGTCCGTTCTAAACTGACGTGATGTTTATATCGCTGCGCGGATCGATGAAGAATTTTACTCATTCTCACACCTCTATTCTGAACTGTGTTTTTTACTCCTAAGTTTCCTAAGATAATTTTTAAAAATAAATGCCTATGGAAAATTTTTTCTAGTATTCCATGCACCTAGAACGGTAAGTAAACCAGTGACGTTGGAAGTTTTTGTCATTGACTCTTAGCGTGTCTAACCCGTCGAAGGAAAGAAACGTTGGTAACGTGATTGCAGGCAATAAGTCAGGGAAACATTCAAGTACAAAATACAACAACTTGATTTTATAGATGAGCGTGAGTTGGAGATTGATAACTTTCTTTCTTTTCTCTCACTTTACTTTCATCGATCACTCTTAAGTTCAATTGTTTTAAAGAGAAATTAAATGCTTTCTGAAAGATTCATGTCTCGTCAGAGAAGAATTTATTATTTCAGATTATTCGTCCCCAGAGGAGAATTACAATTCTGGGGAAAAGAATTCTGGTTCTCGAGGAAAGAGCTGTGCCGATCTTCTCCCAAGGTTAAGATTCCATTTTATTTTATTAACGCGTTAGGTGATGATGATCGTCATGACAATTTTGACAGACGCTCGTTTTAGTTTGGAGGACGGCGCCGTGTTGACGGTGAGCGGAGTTACCTACATTTTTGTAGGTAATGAATCGCTTCAGATGATAGGAAAATTTCGCTTAGTCGTACTTCTGTATTCACATTTAAGATTCTAGTAAATAGAACGAATCAAATCGTTCGAACAGTAGCGGCGGTCTTGCCTATTTGTAAACAAATATGTTTTCAAGCTTGAAGTTAACCGCAAACGGCAGAGTGGAATCTGATTTTCTTCACTCATCCTATGAACCTAAAATCATCCTGGTAAAACAATAGGAAATTGTGTCCTGTTCCAGGAAACTGCAAATAATTTCAAATAACTTTACAGACGAATGAATGCAAACAATTCAATTTTTGCTGCTTGCGGCCAGCCGTAAAGTTTTACGAAAACAACTTTATTTAACTTGATATTTCATGATCTTCTTCGTCTTCTAAAGAGGTACCCAGCGGGTCAAAACCTTTTTCCTTCTTCTTCACAATGCAGGCAAGCCATTTCAAAAATTAACTGACGCCAAACGCTTCGGGACAAAACCACGTAATGTCACCAAAATCAATCGGAATCCCTCCTTTGTTATAAATCTAGCCCTCATTCAAAGTTAAACAAAGGGTAAAACAAAAGACAGAATTTCTGACGCATTTTGAAATCAACCTTGATTTCAAGGCAAATCATGAATTTAACCTAAAAAATCAAGGTTGACTTGAAATCGACCTTGATTTCAAAAAACCCGTCTTTTGAGCAGTTTGGAGACAACCTTGATTTTATAGGTAACTTATTTTATTTACAGGCATTGAATAATTTCACTCCCTATTCAGATTTTTGACAATGTGTCATTCATGAGTTCTGAAGAGGGTGTGAATATTATCATCTTTAATGACCTCTTGTCGCGCCATCAGTGTCGCTGAAAAGGTGTTGAATCGATTGTTTGTGTGAAGATTTTCAAATATCAAGAAGAAGTCGTGGTGTGCCTTGATTTGCTCTTCTGTCAAAATTGTGTCTTTGTAAATGTGAAGTTATCTAATTAATAAGTCAAGCTTTCATGCTCACGGTTGATGAGAGGATGAAGATGTGACATTTAACTGACATTCCCTGAGCCGGACGCTTTCCTGTTAATTGCGAGCTGAACACGGCAAAACTGACCAATCAGTTTATACAAACCGGACTTAGAACATTTGACTGACAACAACTATTCACTTGACTCTGAAGATGACTTCCACTCAGGTTGTCGAAACGTCAGTCACCACTACCGACAACAGTCCTGCTAAGGACTACACTCACCCGGACGATCAAACTACACTAAGATTATTGTCTCTCATACTCCTGAGATCGACGAATAGACCGAATCTGTCTCCGGCTTAAAAGTCTCTTGCATTCATCGCGCTGTTTTTCTTTCCAAATCTTCTGAAGTTCTCTTCCCACATATCTCTAATCTCCATTCCTTGGCTGTAAACCTTATTTAGGATTCCATTGACAATCACCTTCACTTCTGTAATGTCAGGATTGAACGTCTTCTCACTGTCTCTCGCACCAGCGACATATGGCTCGTAAAATAGAGGAAGTCCCTTCACTGACCTCCTTGGAACATTGATGCTCTCATTGATAATCGTTTCTGATCCCTTATCTACTAAGATTGTCTTGAGATGAGTGACATGCTCTTTCCATTTTTCACAGCATTTGGATATCTTGCGCCAATCACAGCGTTTCAGGTGTATATCTCGCACCAGTCATCACAGCATTTGGATATCTTGCACCAATCACAGCGCTAAGGGTATTTATCATATAAACTACGATACTTTACAAGCTTAAGGATATCCAGCCCTGAGAAAAGCCGTAACAACACAGGTGAAAAAATACTATATTTCTTCGCTGATTTTCACTCAAAAATACGATATTCACTGATTTGTTGACTCCGGCCGAACTTCATGTTCGGGGTCAACAAATCAGTGAATCAGAACTTGCCTTCTTCGGGCTAGTATGATACCTAACAGTACTCTGAGTGTTCAGAAGAAGGTTTGAGGGCATGAGCCAAGTGCCTGGTGAGAGTGCAAGATCAAACCTGACTTTTGCCTCTTCATTCGCAAGCTGAAACCTTTCGCCTCTCGCTCAGACTTTTTGTTGTTCCATGTCCTTCCAAGATCTTCTTTGGGTAACGTATCTTTTTTTGGGATACTTTGACGAATCTCAGCTACTAATTGCACTGGTCTTTGTGGTGGTACTTGTCTCGCAGATTGGGTTGAGATAAAATCTGTTTCGTCGAATTGCATATCCTCGTTGTACCGCATATTATCCATATCACTGGTAGCTTAATTTCGTAAGCGCACGAAGTTTTATACTTCTGCGACGTCAATGCATTCCAGATATCCCTAACAATTAAGCGATATATGTATAATTGGCGTCAAAAAACACCGTCGAGGTCGAACTGTTCTCTAAAAAAAACATTTGATTTCATTGTATGTTCTTCGTAACTGTGCACTGCAATGTACTATTCGTGACACACAAAACTAGAGGCCAAGGCAATAAATAACTGCATCAGTTAGCTGCTTTAGCCTCAGTGGTCGAAGCCCCCTCTAAGGAAACAGCAGATTTATAAACCAAAATGGTTGTTAATTTGCGGCTTAAAGGTAGAATTTAAGGTCGTTGTTTTCTTCTCCTTGCTACAGGGATGAGGCTGGAATAAAAGTAATGGCTGGTGAGGGCGCGGATTTAGCTGCAGATGGAGTCAGGGCGGCGCTTGAAATGACAGCGTCAGCAAGTACATCAGGCTTTTTCGTCTCAGTGAAAATAGACAGCCCCATTCTGGCAGGAGTCGCGCTGGCTGGAGCCCTGTCGTTGGGTGCATTCTATTTGTCTAAAAGGAATTCCGTTGAAAATGCTATAAGGAATGGCTTAGAAGAAAGAAATGAAAACGGAGCTGATCCTGAAGTCAGGAATATCGGGGATGGTTCAATTTTGGTTGAGCTTTGCTGTCACACAGATCGTAGTTTGTTGCAGTTCGTGGATGACCTTGAAGCAGAGAAAGTGAAGCATAGATTGCAAGAAGAGTTTTGTAAAATTGGATTCAACAGGCGGTTAGATGTAACCATCAGGAATGCCAAAGAGGTTTATAAGAAAGTGCAGGAAATAAGGTAACGATCTGAATCATTTTGATCCAAGGACCCAGACCTTTCACTCGCTTTCGAGTACTGTAATGAAATGAGAAGTCTGGGAATGGAAATGAGATTGTAGATATTGAATCCTTGCCGTCATGTGATACGGCTGAAGTATTACCTTCAGAATCTCTCACAACATGCATGGATAACAATTCATTTCAGGTTTTCGCTTTTGCGAGATGTTACCCACGCCGCGCAAGTAGGAGAAACACAGATGCAGAAACTCAACCTTTGTAAGAGATGTACGTATCTAACTCTCAACTGCTTATCAGTTTCATGTTGCATGGAAATTGCTTTGTCCTCAGGCCATCAAGCTTCTTTTACCGATTTCTTTGCTTCACTGTGACCCAGCAGAAACCAAGACGAGAACATTAATTTAGTCACTAACTACGTCAACATTACAACATGTCAGGGGAAAACAGGATAAGGATTCTAGATAGTTAATATTTTCTTTATTTTTTTCTTTCCAGGCGATACCGAGGCTCCACACGAGATAAAACTAAAAGTCGTGCCTCAAAATCTTGATGTTAAAAAACAAGACACATCCAGTCACCAATTTTCTGCAGACATAAATATGTTCCTAAAGCAAAACACACTTTCTCCAACTGAAGGACTGAATGCTTTACTGAAAGGTTTGGAAGATACTTACAACCTGAGCATTCAAGCATTAAAATTTGAAGGTCTAGAAATACGAGTGGAATGTGTCACCCTGGGAAGCCTTGAAAGACTCTGGAGATACTTCCTCTCTCGCCGCCTCAATGAAATCGCTGAGATGTGCATTCTGACCGATGAAGTAAAAAAGAAACTGAACCTGAAAAATATGAGACTAACAACTGTCATTAAAGAAGAGGACTACGAGACATGCAGAAGGTCTTTCATTGAGCGAGTGAAGCCATCAAGCGCAGGTAAAAGTCAAGGTACGTACTGCACTTAAACTGCTTGTTGCACTTGATGAAAAAAAAATCATCCTTAGAGTTGATAACCATCATCCTGTGTAACTCTTGAGTAGATGAATCAGATGATCTCCTGACAGAAGTCGATCGAATCAAAAACCTTCGGATTGGTACCTCGGATGGGAATGTTCGACTCACTGAGCTGAGCTGTTCATTGCATCAACAGACAAAAAACGTACTATCTTCAGTTACATAACTGAAAAGCACAGGATTAGAATGGAAATAAGTGCAAATGATCATCATTCGGTAAATAATGACACCTTCAACTGATTGCCACTTCACCCAAGTTGCGACAGTAGTGTATATCATAATTTGAGAAACACGACTTAAAGTGTTCTGTTTAGAGTTCACCAAGACCTAAAAAATATATCTTCTACAATTCGTTACTTTTAATTTGAGCTACGTGATCGGATCAAAAGCATCACGTGATACTTAAATCCTTTGACAGCTAATAGTTTTTTCGCTCTGTTCTTAAACGCCACTCTGTTTAAACGCCTACCTGGAGGTCGTAAAAAAGATAGTAAGGGAAAAAGTTGATTTGAAATTTTTGAATCGAGATTTTCTTGATTTTTTAGGCGCCGTCATGGAACTGCGTGAGATAATAGTAAAAATCACCACCCACAATGCTGATGGTGAAAATCTGAAGGAGTCCAACCAAAATTTTGGAGCCGACGTTTTAATGTTCCTTAACTGCAACACATTTTCACCAACGAAAGGAATGGGCCACTTTCTTAAGCATATTGAAGATGCTTACAACCTGCGCACCAAAGCATTGGGGTTCAGCTGCCTAGAAATAGGATTGGAATGCGCAACCGCGCAGGGCCTTGAATGTCTGTGGACGGACTTCGAGTCAGGTTACCTCAATGAAACTGCAGAGAGATGCCTTTTGACTGATGAAGTAACCGAAAACCCTCAGATGAAAGATGTTAGGGTGAAAACGGTTATCAAAGATGGGGAGTACTTCGCATGTAGGAAGTCGTTTTTTGAACCAACGAAGCCAAGGAAAGGAGTTGCTAGTCCAGGTAAATTTTAGTCTCCTTCGCAGCCGTTTTTTTGAGATGTCACGTCTGGTTTTGTCATGGAAAGTTAATTTAAAAAAACTGATCACCTGAGCACTAATTCATCAAATTTACAGTGTCCTTTTTGGACTTTTTTAAGGGTCACCCACCACTTTCTAAAACTGGAAGATCCAGGCTTAAAGATTTTATAACCACTAGTTAAAGCTATCAACTTTCGCAGAAGACCTCAGTGGATGAAAAACATTATATCCAGTTTAAATCGCCTTTCTCGCTGATGGTTTTCTTCACTTTTTTGCTAGACAGAACAGTTTTTTTTAATTTATTAATCAATGGTCTGCGTCAGAAGCTGAGTAAAGTGAAATATCCGATTTGAAATTTTTGTCAATTTTCTTAGGCAACGTTACGGAATCGCAAGAAATGTCAGTTAAAATCACCAGCCATAATGTTGATGCTGTAAAAAAGGAGAAATTGAACCAGTATTTTCAACAAGAAGTCAAGAACTACAACGCGTTCTCTCAAACCGAAGGACTCGCTGACTTTCTTGGCCGTTTCAGAAACAAGTGCAATGTACGTATAAAGGCAGTAGGACTTGGATCCTTAGAAATTCGAGTGGAATGCCCCACCCTGGCGAGTCTTGAAAATCTGAAGAGCGATTATTGTTCTGGTTACCTCGATGAAATGGCTGAGAAGTGCATGCTGACTGATGACGTGAGACAGAAACTTAATCTGAAAGATGTCAGCTTAAAAGTTGTTATTAGAAAAGAAGACTACGACAGATGCAGAAAATCTTTCTTAGGACCTGTGAGGCCATCAAGCGAAGTTACAAATCCAGGTATAGGTCTAAAGTGCTTCTTGCAATTAGAAAATTTGAAAGTACATCGTGATAACTGTAACAACATAAGTACGCTAAATTTATCATTGCCTACACTGAGTACCCAAAAAACAAATATTGAACACTTATATTATATTACTCACTTTTACCGAAGGCAAAGAAAAAAAATTGTCATTATTGAAAGAGAAAAGAACCTCAAATGATATTTTATGATGATGGCAATTCGTGTTGTTCTGAATAAATCGTGAAAAATGGCCATCCAATTGCGTTGGCATTCTCTTCCTTTTACTCCTCCTCCCCATCATTTTCACTTTTCTCCACCCAGTCCTCCTCCCTCTCCTCCTTCTCATCGTCATCATTGTCGTCGTTTAATGCACCAATCACATTTGAGGAAATTGTAATGGTTTATAAGTTTATAAGTTTATAAGTTGAAGTTTCGTTTGGAACGATGTCGTATGTAGATGTTTTCTAAGCGTTACAATATCGATCATAACAACACACTGAACATCCAGGGGCGACTTGTAAGCAGTAAAGGGTCAGAATCGAAAGAAAGTAATCATTAAAATTTAGTAAATCTGGGAGTCGAATGTTACAAATCGGAGGGGAGTCTTTCGAAATTAAGAAGCCGATATTTTGTGAGCAAACTGTTCAGGGAAATTCTAGTGTAGGTTGCTTAAGCCTTCAGTTACTTTGTTTTCATATCTCTTAATTTTGCTCTTAAATGTTTTTGTTGTATGTTTGTCGTTTCATTTTTAGAAAATATTCCATCTTATCACACTGACCATTCAAAGTCACAAGCTGAAGGAAACGGTTTAAAAGAAGCCGAGCAGGACGCCGAGGCTTACTTCACAATAACTACACGAGATTCAGAAGGAAAACCGTTTTATAGCAAACAAGAACACGTGACCGTCACAATCAGATCTCGAACAGGGAAAGAAGAAGTAAAAACCATAGACCTTAAAGATGGCAACTACACAGTCTATTACAAACCAAAGAGTGCTGGGGGACACGACGTTACGATTGTGATTAACGGATGGCCGCTGACTGGTAGTCCTTGGAGAGTTAACGTGAAGCCACATCAGTACAAAATAGTCAAGTCGTGTGGGTCAAGTGGAAATGGAGAAGGAGAATTTCATTTACCGCGCAGTATTGCAAAGAATGAAAAAACAGGAGAAATTATTGTGGCAGATACGTTGAATGGCCGCCTTCAGGTTTTGGATGAAAATTTGAAATACCTCAGGACGATAGGAGGTGAGACAGGATTACCAACTGGTGCAGCTCTGAAGATTCATGAGCCTGGGTCAGTAGCAGTCGCAAGGAATGGTGATACGATCGTAATTGATAACGATGGACCTTCAAGACAAATGCTTCTAATCACTGATGATGGCCAGTTTATCCAAAAGTTCACGAAGCACGTAATCACTCCTCGGACTGTTTTTGTCACAAATGATGATGGTCACGTGATCGTGTGTAATGACGCTGACGGTAAAATTAAGGTCCTTTCCTCGGACGGTGCACAATTGCTACAGTCTTTCAGTGTCCCGTATTATGACCATAGACCCAACTGTGTATTTTATCATCAAGAAAAGTTCTTTGTGTTGTATTCCACCGCTGACTGTGTCAAGGTTTTCAATACGGAAGGTTTATTTCTATTTACTATTGGCAGCAAGGGGTCTGGTGAAGGACAGTTCCTGTGTCCCTGTGGCCTTGTTGTTGATGCTTTTGATAACCTGATCGTCTGTGACAATGGTAATAGAAGACTGCAAATGTTTACCCTGGATGGTGAATTTCTCGGTTCCTTTGATCAAGAAAACCGAAAACCCTGGGCTATAACAGTTTGTAAAAATGGTGACTTGCTGGTTACTGATACTCTACACAACAGTGTTTTGATTCTACGATAAAATCCTTTTTTTCTTTTTTTAAAAATTTGTGTCTATCCACTTTCTCGATAAACATTTTACGATGAACTTGTTGTTGCTTATTTCCTTCTCAATCTGCGATGTCACCGGAAGCCATAACAGTAACGCACTTGTCAGCAAATACGCTCGCGTGATCTCCGACCCATAAGAGCCTCCCTGTTTACGCTTCGCCGCTAATATTACAGATTTATATTTTCGCCACTGCAAGTAAATATCGCGAGAACAATAGATACTACCCAATGTCTTTAGTCGCAGTTCATATCACTTTCGATGCATTAAACACCATGTGATTGATAATAAAGAAGAAAGAAATTTTACTACTGACAAGCTTAATTGCACGTAGTTAAACGTTTATGTTAAGACATACGACACTGATGATTATGTTTTTTTGTTGCTGTTTTTCATCTGAAACACTTCGTTGAAAGTAAATCGCATCGTAGTCAGTTATGATCAGGGCTGATCGGGGTTGGGTGAGATGCTGTAGGGAAGGAAGCGATTTTTCTTTCCATGAGATACCAATACATGTATACCTAAATATTGTAAGACTTTTATCACCAAACACCACAATTGCTTAGAGATCTTTACTGGTTTCTGTATGTCAGATACTAAGTTCTCATTACGCACGAGATAAAGTCGAACCTGTATTAAGGTGCACCGTATTAAGTGCTATTAAGCACTGTTTGAAGTGGTCGGTTGTCAAACTTCACAAGTATTTCCCCTTTAATTATTGTAATCTTCACCTCTATTAGGCGGTCACTCAACTCTACTAAGCGGCCATGGTCACCTTGATGAGTGCAAACGGCCTGTTTGTATTGTCTTCCACCTGTAATAAACGGTCACTAAAAGCAGAATCACTCTGATAAAACTAATAATCTTTCACGTAAAGTTTAATCTATATTTATCTCCCGAAATCAATGTTAATAGTATCATCGAGCGACTTTTTATACATTAAGTGGTCAATTATGGCATAAAGTGACGTTTTATATCGATTTGTTATGATACCCTTTCTGTGGAACCTGTATTGAGCGGTAAGGGCCTCTACGATACAATCAAAGTTTGAGTAAAATATTTTAAGATTTCAGAAAAACCCCCATCAGGTCCCCTCAAAAACTACCATAGCAACTCATGCCTAACCTCAAAAGTAACCTCTTTCAAGCTGTCAGTCGGAGAAGATCAGCGAAGGGGCGGCCGTTTCGCAGGCAATAGAGGCTTTGGTTGTTAAGGAGCGACCTGACCTCGCTTTTCTTCGCGCACTTGCGTTTTGGCTCGTGACCACACTAATCGAACCTGACTCAAGCTTAGACTACATTATCCGACTCAAGCTTAGGGTACATTATCTTTGTAGAAAGGCACATTGGAACTCAGTCCATGATACACAACAGCACAAAATTCAGAATGTCCGCCAGTTGAAAAATAGCACGTGAAGAACTACTAAGTAGAGAAATATGGTAATAAACAGGTGCATCAAGCACGAGCCAAAACTTCATTCTGCCACAATGCTCAAGAGAATGTACGTGTAAGATTGATGGACACTGATCTCTGAATGAATTATTGGTTTAGACGAGGCATGAAAGCATTCTGATCAAGATTTTAATTTCAATGACAAAAAAAGAAACATCAGACATCATTTGAAGCTAGTAGTATCAGCTTATCCTGTTTGACTTTTCAATAAAGTAATAAAAGTAATAGCTCTTTCCCCTTTGGAATGCCCATTAAGAATGAGCGCTTAAACCCTGGCTCGAACACGGGTGGTCCTTTACAGCATTTTTTGAGTAATATTCTTGAATTATTTCACTTTGTTTACATTTTCGAGTGCTGTCGAGTTCTTCGTTTCCTGCGAAGTATCGAAAAATCCCATATGGTTTGATAAGGACCAAATTTTATAATATTTTATCCCAGTAGGACCTAAGCTTCTAAAACAAAATACCAAATATGGGCTCAAATCTCTCCAAATTGAAGAACATTTCACAGTTATTTAACTGAATTAGACAAGTTCTACTTTAAACAATATTTCCACCAAAGTATTGAGAGAACAACCGCCCCACTGAGCAGAGAGGAACAAGCCAACAAGGTGGGCACAGATGGTAGTAAGTGCTTCTCCATAAATGAAAACTCTAAAAACTTAGATTCCAAACCCTAATGAAAAACAAAAGTAATAAATACACGAGTAAACTGAACACTGATCCGGCAAAGGCAAAGGCAAAAAAAAACTATTCCCGTAAAAAGATAAATCAAATGGCCATATAGGAGGTGTAAGAGTAACTTTACTTGTTGACAAGCCATGCAGGGCAAAACATCCAAGGGTCCAGAACCTTTCGACATCATTATGGTGTGATCACATTTAGCGCCTGGTATATTGCATAATTTTAAAGCTTTAAATGAAAGTCCTTTCAACGACAAATTTATGACGGGCAACTAAGGCAAAAAAAAAAAAACGGTGGATTTGCATTGTCACGTAATTTTGGGCAAATTAACCTTTCAACCCCTAAAAGTGACTAACATCTAATTTCTCTTTAAAATATCATCCCTAAAAAAAACACATTCAGGTGATGAGAATAAAGGAAATGGTCACCAACTAGAGAAGCTCTAGTCTGGATTGTAAAACAAATTCTCCTCATCAGCACCCCAGGAAATGTATAGGGACCAGTATGAAGAGTATAAATACTGTTGTTTGGATGTAAAGGCTTAACAGCGCTGAGTTTTTGCTGGCTATACATGAATTTTGCTAGCTTACCTCTAACTTAAGTCGTTTTCTAGTTTCACTTTCTGTCATCTTACCAAGTCTGCATAGCACCTGAAATGGTTCAAGAGAGCGTAAGCATCTACCATGCATAAAGGGGTAAGTTTCTAAAGAAACTGTGGTGCTGCGTCGGTGGGAGAGTATAGCAGGTAATTTAGTGTTAACAACTGAGTTGAAAACGTAAATTAGCCACCGTAAAGGGTAAAAAAGCTGACGTTTCGAGCGTTAGCCCTTCTTCAGAGCGATAGATGCATCTACCATGCAGCCCAACACAACAGCTCTTTGTGTTAAGTTAACTGTTTGTCCGTTTCGTTGTTGTTGTTTTTTTTCTGTACCAGCAACAGCAACAAAGCATTTCGATCCCAAAATTTTGGCCCCCCTGTCTCCTCCCCCCAAAACTTCATTTCGGCTGACTGCCCTGATCAGCGTAGCCCTCAGTGTCCTCCAGAGAACGAAACACAATGATTTCGAATTCGCTTCATCTGGAATCCGTTAGGTTACAGCACAACAACGCGGGAATTGTTTCTTAACTCTAGGAAGGAGTTTGACTAATTTGCCACACCTCCCGTCTGGAAAACTTTTCAGTTAAAATTACATAAAGCCCTTTACCTCCACAGCAGCGCGTTCCCCAGACTCTATCGCGCCTTCCATGTAACCGGCCCAAAGTGTCGCCGTGATCGTTCCAGCGAAATGCACTCGACCAAAAGGCATCCTCAAAACTCTTAAAAACCAGAGAATTAAGACTTCATGTCAGAAAAAATTAAAAACAAAAGACACGGCTAAGTTGATCATCTCTTTATTTTCATTTATCCCCACCTTGACTTCAAACCCATTAAGCTCGAAGCGAACAGTTTTCTTCGAGCTTCCCATTTCGGGACAGGTAATGTCCTCGGATGATTATCCGAGCATATTTTCGCGCCAAATGAGCGCTATTTCTTTTATGTATCTATCATCTATAACTTTAAGTGTTGATGTTAACTTGTTTTTGTACCCTAGTGAGCGTTTAAAAACTTATGAAGCGAGTAAAAATAACAAGTACTTTACTTTCCGTAAGCAGTTAACACCCCAGGAGGAAAAGTTCCAACATAGCAGCCTCCAGAAAACTCATCCGCCATCCAGTTCTTCTCTAAATACAACACTGGCTGAGAGGAAAACAATGTGTGGTCAGTTGGTAAAATGAAACTACCTCTTTCGTTACGCTAAAAATGCCATGACAAGAGACGAAATGACGAAAAATAATATGCAACCTACCTCCAGTGCGTCTGAGGTATCATATATTCTGGCATATTGCTCACAAACTAGTTTCTGTCTGAGTAAAGCGAAAAAGTCAGTTATAAAGCGAATGAATATCTACAATAATCCACGATTGCGTAGGGTTTGCTTTCTTTACACTGTGATTGGTCCAGAAAACTCGCGCCAGCCTCCCAACCTATCTGATGCAAACAAAAGCCAATCGCGACTCGGTCACTCGTGTTTTCCCGCGCTTCCGGCAGCTTGCTTGTTTTCCTTTGAGTTCTCATTGGCTCGCATTGAGATAATTCCTTTGTTCTGATTGGCCGTGGTGATTACTTTGGTTTTGGTTTTGCGACACTCAATGGACATGCACACTATGAGAGCGGTTAAAGAACTTAGTTCAATATCCCAAAGACATGCATTTATTGCTGATGATCGTTCTAATGAGACGATTGAGCAAAAAACACGTAGTAAGGTCATTCCCAGGGTTGGGACATTATCTGTAAGTATTTATTTATCTAATATCATCTCTGAAGATAAGATATAAGGCATATAACCTTTCCTCTTTGGTAAGAGTTGTTGTCTGTCGCGCTTTATCCGCCAGTATAAACCTGAAAAAATAGTACCAGCATTCAACTTCAAAGAGAGCCAGTCAACGCGCGGGAAAATCGCCAGCATCAAGCTGAAGGGACTCGAGGGACTGAAAAAAAAGTCCTCTTCGACATTTATTTTTTAGTGCTGTTATGGGCTCCCTGTACCACATGACAAATAAGGAGTTTATACTCGCAATCTAATCTGAGAACGATTACCATTGGTCAGAACAGAGTGCCCAAACCGGACACATCCATCATTTAAAACAATGAGAAGATCTGACCATCACCAACACAAACTTTCACAAAATCCAATGTTGGTACATTAACCCCTAACTTGTTATCAGTTGACTGTTGTTGGGTTAGGGGAGGGGTAAGTGCCCAATTTCTCAGATACCAACATTGATACAAACTCTTTGGATAAAATGCCTTGCCAGTTTAAATTGAGCGGTATTGTGGGAAAGTTCTGGCTCACGGTAGGCGCCATAAGATTACTTACCCCATAATGGCCGGATGACTGTTATCTGGTTTAGTATCATCGTAACCTTCCTCAACTGGACCTTCATCCGAATTAAAATAGCCTGCGAGACCTAATAAAAAGCAGGGATTCTATGACTTTTTAAAAAATGACCTAACAATACTGTTAGAAAACAGTCTGTTAGAGATAAAAAACCTGTACTAAACTATTTCGTGTTGTGGAAAGAGCCTTAATTTTTTTGTCGAAGTTTCTTCACAAAAACTCGTTGTGGCAGATAAACGGATAAATACTTTACCTTTCTCTCTCCAAAATGGCCGATCATAGAAGGTGATTGTCTTGATAATGGATCCCATAGGAATTCTTTGAATTGCCTGCAAATTTCAGAAACGTTAACCTCACGATGACTGAAGAGCACGTAAATTACAAATACATTGTATCTGTCAGTCGCTCTCAACTATTTTAGGTTTTATTGTTATTTTTTTTAAATAAAGTTTTGAATGGTTATACTGCTGGGTACCCTTTGAGAGAGAAAGATGGACTTACTTTAAAGAAGAATTATGTGTTAGAAGTAATTTCCTAACACACACCGTTCAGTTGAAGTTCTCTTTATTCTTCTCTTTCTTACATACAACTTATTACCTCGGGACTAGCTCAGATCTCTCGAGGAAAGTGTGGGTCACTTATAAAGGTGACGCTTACTGAGCTGTCAATCTCTAACCTTCGTCATCCTTTTACACTTAACTAGCGAACCACGTTAAGCTACGCAGAGCGGAGTTCGCATACTAAGTAGATACCTTCGAGATGTTTACACTTTACAAAATCATTTTCTACCTTAAATTTCTTAGTCTAACAGTCAAGGTTAGTCATAACTAAAACACGATTGGTAATATAAAAATTGTAAGGAACTTACCAACAGAATTAGAATCATACTTAAAAAGATATCTTAAAAGGAAATACTCCTCGAAGACTGTTACATAACAGCAGAATAAACAGAAAAATCGGAGAGGAAAGGGCATACCCAAGGTACCGCCCCTAAAAGAGCTACGTGCTGTGCGTATAAGTTACCTGATTATAAATTCAGTGCGGAAGATGAAAAGTACTACATGTTTACACCTTAAGTCACCTCTAAGAAAAAGAGGTGTCGAGCGTGCTAAATTATACCTGTAAGATAAGACCGCCAAAAGGAAAAAGAAACGATCAACTGGCTTATTATAATTTTTACTGAATGGCTTATGCTAATATACTATTTCCATTCATTTTCAACGTTTAAATAAGTAAAAAAAACACCTAGTTTAGTTTTCATCCTTATGGCATTTCCTTTATTATAGGTAATTATTTTATTTCGTTAATTGCCATTAACTGTAACAAATAAAATAAATAAACCTGATTTTTTAGAGGTGGAAGAGGAGGATTGAAGCTGATCTTTCCGAGCAAAGCTGGAGGAACTGAGCTGATGACAAATGAAGCCTTAAACCAGCAAACACACAGAAAATAACAAATTAAAGAAACGATCAGACAAGTTATCATTCTGGATATAAACACTCTCAGTTCTGCCTCAAGCCAGATTTTCCCTGAGTTATTAGACTGTACACCATGACAAACACATAACAGGATGTTAAGGATCCAAGTTACTAAACTGTTCAGCCAACATTTAAGTTGCAAGTGCAGTGGTATCATGAACAGTGATCTGGGCTCTGGGTTGTAAGGTCTGCATTCAAGACCTGGCCAGGTCGTTGTGTTGTGTTCTTGGGCAAGAACACTGTGCCTCTCCTCACCCCCAAGAGTATAAATGGGTACTGGAAAACTGTCAAAAAAAATGGACAAAGAGGAGGGGGAAGGGGGGGAAATTTCATACAACAGAAACTGGGATGAGCTTTGTCAGTTTACTAGCTCAGGAGCATCTTTTACCTTGTCCAATAATCAAAAGTATACTTTAAATTTAGCAACATTCCATGCTATGTTGGATTAACATTCTTATTGTTGACGGACATTTGAAATGTGGACTATCTCTTATCATTTTTGCATTGATTGCGCACCCCCTACCTAAGTACACAAGAGATACAATAGTACATTTACCCTATATTCTGTTCCATCTGCACATTTCACTTTAATATGATCATCACACTCTTCAATACGCACAACACAGCTGTTTAATTTCACTCTATCTGATGAAAGCAAATCAAACCTTTATATGGAAATGTTCAGCCAGTATTAACCCTTTAACTCCCAAGATCTGATTGTTAATTCTCCCCTCTACCTGCTACACATTTCCTTGTAAATTAGTTATGAGAACTTGGTGCTAGATCAAGATAGCAACTTCTACCTGATAAGTTTGAATATTCTCATTACCTGTTTGCTGAATAATGTATGGATATTGTAGGGAGAAGTTTTATGTAAATCACTTCTGGGAGTTAAAGGGTTAACAGAAGTTAAGTTTCTGTAAAGTGATACAACTACTCAACAGGTCTGTTAAGATTTTCATCAAAAACACTTTAGTCCACCCTTTACAACTCCTGTCTGTGCTCTTAGTGTTCTGATTGGCTATCCACAGGGGCAGGATCCACCCCCTACCCTACCCTCTTGGAATTTCTCAGTTTAAAAATAAAGCTGCTTCATGCCATCTTTAGTCAATGAAGATTGTAAAGTAACAAATGATGTCTGATTTTCTTTCCTTTCTTTCTGCATTTTTATGGACTGGAATGGGGTCAAGGTGTAAAAAACACTAAAGAAGAAGAAAATTTTTCAGTTCTAGCCATCTTAACTTCATCCTTGTTTGGGAACAAATATTTGCTGGGCTTCATGAACTAAACAAAGGTTACTTCTCACCACCAAGATGTTCAGCCATTTTCATACTAACAGTCTGAGAGCCTCCACAAAATTTCATTTCCTAGTTCCTCAAAACAAAAAAAAATACTTTAGTCCACTTAACAGCAAAATCAAAAAAACATCTTCATGAAATAATGATATCTCTCAGTGTAATAAATGGTAAAGTTCAAACCTACATTGACTCCTACCTCTACTACATATTCATTTTGACTTCTATCACTGCAGAATATTGCAAAAAGTCTACTACTGACTTATGTCTGACTGACAATATCTTGTACAACAGCTGATCAGCCTAATTCTTACTAAACCTCATTCAATGCCTTTTTGAATCAGAGATAGGAAAAATGAACTAACCTGTCCCCCTCCTGCTTCAAATTCAATATTCCGTTTTGTCCCTGCAGAGAAATGTAAATGTCTCCACTCGAGTTGCCAAAGTTATGACTTTTACAATTTTCCATTTTTTCATAGTCTGGGTGTGAATTTTCTTGAGTCATTGCTTAAAAACAGAAAATGCACTTTACAAGAGTAAACCACAAAGAACAGAATGTAAGTTTGGATTAACTGCAGAAATAAAAGAAAAAATATTTCAAAAGCTTATAGCAATGATCTTTCTTAAGTGCAATAATGTTTCTTGCAATAACACTTTTATTTTGAATTCCTACTGTATTTTCCTCTCCAATTTCAGAGAGAAAGAAAACTGGTAAGGATTAGTTAGCTGTCACTGCTTCAAAGTTGCAAAATTTTGGAGGTATCAAAGGTACCCTCAGCAGAGAGCCAGCTTAAAATCTATGCTTACATGACTGTATAATGACAAATAATCCAAACCATAACTAAGTCTAAAGAGTAATGTACCTCCTCCAGAATGCAGATACCACAAGAAAAACAACAGAGAGATATCGTGTGGCTCTGAAGTGAGAATTCCTTGCACATATGCAGCAGCTGCAGCCTTTCCATACCTGTGGGCAGTAATTAATAAATTGAGTAGAAGGATTTGTATAGCCCCGGACAATAATTTTACAACAAGGTGTTTGTACAGCATCAGTGATAAGAGAATTGTTCTCCTGCTACACCCAATTATCTACCTAAATTTTTAACATCCTCTAGTAGTTTTTCATTCAGACCAGGAGAATATTTTCCTGTCACTTTTCATTATTCCCCTTGCTAAATACTGCATCTCTTGATCAAAACTCTACAGTCAACTGCACAATTCAATTTGAAATGGCTCTGGATCCCCTACACTCAACATATGTTTTCAACATATTGATTCTCAACTTAACCCTAAGTTAAGTTAAGTCCCACTAGTGACCAAGACAGAATTTCTCCTTACATTATTAGTATGATATCAAGAAGACAAGTAATGAGAATAAAGAAAAATATCAATCAAGGAGATTTTGGTTGATCCAATTCCAAATTCTCCAAACTAACATCATATAAATTGATAGCAGAAAGAAGGGAGAATTACTCATGAAATCTTGGGAGTTAATTAAAAGGATTAATAATGATTAATTCTTAATTCTAATTCAGTGTGCTTGTTTCCAAAATGTTCCTAGTAAAACTAAAACTAAATGTATTTGTAAAGCTTATACAGGTAATAAAGGATAACCTTAACCCTTTAAGTTCCAGACTTGATCAGCATTTAAGTTCTCCCTATAATATCCATACATCTTCCAGCAAACAAGTGAGAATACTCAAACTTATTGGGTAAAAATTGTAATCTTGATATCTAACACCAACTTCTTGAGACTAATTTACAAGGAAATGTTTAGCAGCTAGTGGGGAGAATTAATATTCAGATCTTGGGAGTTTAAGGTTACGGGAAGTATCACAGGATGTGTGTCTGTGAGTTGGTGTTTCTCTGCAGCAATGTATCTATTAAAAATTTGTTTATTAATCTAAAAGATTTTCTTTTTTCTTTTTACTACTGTATATCCAAACAAGGAGCTAAATATATTTAAGTTTTTGTACAAAGGTGTAGACCAAGCTATATTTTGTTGTTCTACCTTGTCCAACACTTCTGATCAATCAGCTGTTTGACAGTCATCTTATCCCATTCTAAAGCACAAGGGGCATTCCAAGGATCCTCCAGAGGAACTTGTTTGGCCATTTTGTCCAGGAGCTGCCAGAAGTTGTTAACATCTAAGGCACCTAATATGGACCCCATAGAAGGAAGGGCTCCTTGCTTAGTAATTCTTTTACCCTGAAATTTTTCAATAGCATCATTATAAATAACTATAAGTAATTAAGCAATAGTTACATGGTCCACCCCCCTGTTTTCCCTTAAAAAATTTTGATGGAAAAATGGTTGCCAAGTATTGCTCATGAGATAGTAAAGTTCGAGCCACATGCAGGCTTAGAACATCAAAAATACATCTTATTTACCAAATAATGTTCCACAGATTGTCCCTGACTGTAAACTTGATATGTTTCTACTCCTAGCTCCTGGGCAAGTTTCAGCAGTCTGGTCTGAGTTTCACATACATAGGCTCCACCCAAATCACAGTAACCAAAACTGGGGTCCTAAAATCAAAAGTTAGATTAAGAGTGCTTCTACTAATGTGCAGGACTTTTCTGTGATATACTATGAAAGTAGAATAATATACCAGTATTTATGTCTGTTGACAATTTTAGCGCCATTCTGATAAGTGAGTTATTGAGTCAGATATAAGTAAACTCAATTACTTAGGAGCTCTCTTTCACAGAATAAAAAGAACAAAAGAGGATGCCAGTATAATGAATAGACCTGGGGCTTGTAAACCCCACTCCACATCATATTAAGACAGAATTTCTCCTTACAATATCAATACAATATCAAGCAGGTAGGTGATGAGAATAGAGAAGAATATAAATTATGGGATTATTAGTTGATCCAATACCAAATTCTCTGAACTAACATCATAAGGATTTAGTATGGCAGAATTAGTTAGGAGAATTACTAATTAGATCTTGGGAGTGAAAGGATTAAGACTGCCATACTCAAACCAATTGGCCAGTTCCTCAGGTGCATAAAAATGAAGCTTGACCCTTTCACTCCCACAAGTAATCAAGAAAGAATTTCTCCCCACATAATCAATACAACATCAAGTGGAAATGTGATGAGAATAATGAAAAATACTATTTAGGGGATTATTAGTTGATCCAATATCAAACTCTCCAAAATAACAATATAACAATTATATGCAAACATTAAGGAGAATTACTAAATAATGAGATGTTGGGAGTGAAAAAGTTAATAAAGTATGTACTCAATACCTCCCTCCACCTGACCAAGATTAAAAAAAGAAGCTTGGAAAATTCCAGGTGATGAAAGATTGGAGGCAGTGGTTAGTATAGAGTGTTACCCTCAGTAGACTAGCTGTTCATCCAAGGACAAGATCTGACAAGACAGGAGACACCTCAGGCCCACATAAGAGTCAATACCCTACAGCAAACTGGAGAAAATAATCATCCCAAGACCATAGATCATCATCAATGTGTAGCAAAACCACCTATGCACTATATAAACCCCTAGAACCTTGAGTCCAGTTAAGTAACAGACATGACAAGTTTTTCTATAATATTTTATGGTTGGAATAGGACTGTGAAATTATGTTGATTGCTTCGCTTTTGTTTGATTTCTTTTGTTTCAATTTTGTTCATTTTATTCCGTTCTTTTCTTTTGAAAGAAAGGAAGATGTAACATAACTGATTTAAGTTCACTTCTGGTCGGAGTTGATTTACATATTCCGCAATCCTGTTTCAGAATCATGCAATTTCAGAACCATCATTACTTCAACTGCAGTTAGAAATTTTGAGTAAACCAGGCACAAATCCTTTTGAATTTACCAGTTCTAACGTTGAGAAAGAATACCCGACATTAGATTTTTATTCACTTTATGTATTGCAGTAGAATTAACATGCAAATTGTGAAATTGAGAATGATATATAAAATGATATTTCAGACAAGCACTAAAACATGTTTCTGTTTTTTTAAATTAAAATGGTCTGTTACCATACCACTGTTTGCAAGAAATAAAGTGGATTTTAAATAAATGCGACCCTCCTGTAAATGCTGCCCTCAAATAAATAGCGCACTTGAATCAAGAAAAATTTAATAAATGCTGTGACGTTAAATCAAATAAATATGGTAAGCTGCCGCTGATGGTGAAGGGAGCAAAGGGTTAAGGCGAAACCTAAAACACAAGAGCTTGCCCTCTGGAAAAACTTACAGCAGTAGGTCTTACAGGCGACGGTAGAGAGAAGAAATTGGGGGGATCGGGAGAGAGTTACAGAGCTGATGAATCAACATAGAATGTATAGCAGGATAAAGGTGATGGAATATGTCTAGCACGTTTTTTCATCTCACCGTTTCAGTAAAAGTACGCCCGCCTACGCGGTCTCTTGCCTCAAGAACAACAACCTTGACACCATACTTCTTGTGAAGAACCCGGGCAGCGAACAAACCTAGGAATACGAGCAATGTAACTACAACTACCCATATTTTAAAATACTTTCTAAAAAGATGCATCAAAACGTACCACTTAGTCCAGCTCCGATTACTGCAACTTCCACAAAGTTGACTTCCTTATCACTCTCCATTTCAGCCGGCAACTCGGTTTACCAATCGTTTTCGGAGCCCACTTAGAAAAATTCTCTATAGCTTCGTGGGTGTACCGCTGTACCGTTGCACTGATGTCCAGATATCCTGTTATATCCTCTGACGTAATGTGATACAGTGGCTAATGATATCCTGTGATCTTTCGGGGAGGAGCGGAGACCGGACACGAGAGAGCGGCGGAAATTGAGCTGAGCAAGTTTTTTAAAATTATTTTTGTCTTCCTGTTTGTGAGGGAAATGGTTAAGTTTTGAAATAAATATTTCTCAATATTTTGTTGTATACTTAAGGTATTAAATAATCCTGACGTCTTTAATTTCTTTGTTTGATCGATACTTGAGTTGTGATGAATACTGGCAACGTGCTGTACCCCCGCTGCCTCCGGAAATCTTTCTCATATCGTCTCAAATTGCAAACCTAAAGGCTGTCACGTTCTAAACATACCAGCCGATTAGCATTACGATTAAGTGCTTACATCTGACAACCCAGTTATGTTGTCTAAAGGCTCGCTGCTGTATGGCGCTGTACTTTGCGGCATAGCCCTGATTCTTAGCCAAAAGAAAGCACAGAGCCATCCCCAGTGCTTGGATTTTAGAGCGCCCTTTAAAGTAGCAAAACAGCTCTCTTTCTGCCCGCAAAACTACTCGGAATATGGCTGTTGCACTGTAGACCGCGATCAAGGGATTTCGAACGTCTATAAGAGATTGGTGACCCGATTTTCACTGGATAGCAAGCCAAAATGCGCTAACCTGGTAAAAACAGTGCTTTGCCTCGAATGTCATCAATATGCAGCCCATATTTTTGAGGCAGAAGGTAATAAAAAGTTCGATTCGACGACTGCAGCCCCAGGATTATGCTCTAATTTTTGCAAGACTTTTTACCAAGAGTGTAATGACGTAGCGACATATTTAGTGTCAAACGGCAGATGGAAACTTCGATCTACGCCTGAAAGTTCTTCACCGTTAACCGAGAAATCGTTCTGCGACGGACTACAGCTGTCAGACGCAGACTACTGCTACCCGCATGTACAAAGAGTGGATCGTGAAATCCTTTCGAGAAAATACAACTTCGATTCCAACCGAAACTGTTTGTGTGTCGAAGAGGTGGCGCGTGGTTTACGAAATCCTCTGGCTGCGGTGCACGCAAATGACAAGTCTGGAAGACTTTTTATCGCCGAACAGCCAGGCCTAATACGCATCATATTAGCTGAGGGAAAATTACTGCAGCAGCCATTTTTAGACATCACTGACAGAGTGTTAACATCAGGTTCGTACGGCGATGAGCGTGGGTTTCTAAGCATTGTTTTCCATCCAGCGTTTAGGAATAACAACAGGTTCTTTGTGTATTACTCAACTCGAATGGGTAGAAAATCTGGGAGCAGGAAAAACTCCAAAGCTCCTTTTAGAGCGTTTGATCATAGAACGGTTTTGAGTGAATTTAGGGCTTCGGTTTACAATCGTAACAGAGCACTTCGAAGGTCAGAAAAAGTAATTATGGAAATCGAACAACCTGCTGACAATCACAACGGAGGGACGCTGTTTTTTGGATCCGATGGTCTACTTTATTTGACGATTGGAGATGGCGGGCGAGGTGGAGATCCCTTTGGAAAGATTGGCAATGGTTTAAACAGGTTTGTTTGATTGAGTGTGTTTGTGTGTGTTTTTTTTTTTTAGCGAAACAGCGCAGGAATGCTGTTTTTTTTTTCTCTCTTAATGTTTGCGTCACACTCCTTTGACACGTCTCCCAAATCACGAGTAGACCACGTCCGAAACATAGTGCATCTGCACTCATACACTTTTTTAAGCGACAGTATTTGCACAGGGAAAAGCGCTGCATGTAAAGACAAAAGTGTTGTCCGGAATTTGACCATGAGTAAATTAACTTACCTCGTGCCAGAGTTGTGGTGTAATCCTGGGGGCTTAGTAATCAAATAGATACACCAAGTCATCTACAAGCACAGGAGATCTGTGATCACACCGATATAATTTCTGTTTGGAGTAGATTCAGCCTCATTCACGCATCCCTTTGTCCAATCGAGTCCTCGAGAACAGTTTAATGATGGTCTAGTTCTCAAACTCCAAATATCTAAATTGTGACACTTTCTCGCTCTCTCCATAGCCTTACATTTCCTTGTAAATTAACCTCAAACTGATAAGCCCCCTCTTAAGAATTTCGCCTCTGTTCTTTTCGTTCAGATGATGTCATTTCCTGGCAAATCAACAGGTTAAACTTTGTCGCATCATGAAAGACTTTCCAGTGAACCCAATTTCAAGCAGATGGAAAGGGATCTGGGGAAGGGTTAGATGACGAGGAAAGAGCAAGATTATAATAGCGCGGGAAAACATGTTCAAAAGAAAGGGGGAAGGGATGGAAGAGTGGGGGGCGGAGGGGGTGGGGGGTGGAAGAGATTTTCAAGGGTTCAATCCACGTCGTCGCATACCGCTTTTTAACATGTCTGTTCCTTATTGTCGATATTTTACCTTCGTTGACGAAGTCTTGATTCTGTCTTTCTTTCTTTAGATCGACTCTCTTGGGAAGTGTCATTCGAATTGATGTAGATGCACGGCGACAAAGCTACAAGATTCCCCCGGATAACCCGTTCATAGGTATCCGTGGGGTTCGCCCGGAGATTTACGCTTACGGAACTCGTAACATGTGGCGTTGCTCGGTGGACAGAGGAGATCGCAAGACGGGAGAAGGAAAAGGCAGAATATTCTGCGGGGATGTGGGTCAGAATAAATACGAGGAGATCGATATCATTACGAAAGGTGGAAATTTTGGATGGCGAGGTTTTGAGGGATTTGAATGCTACGACAAAAGCCTTTGCAGGTCTCCTTTAGTAAGTAAGTATTAAGACTGCGTCTTGCTTTGCGTTTTACAGTTATCATGGATCAGAAAACTTTGCGCAATATTGAGTGATAGGGAGAAGAGCTCTACTTCAGTTGGTAACATCTTTCTTCATTATATTTTCAGGCGGTAGTATTCCACCTATTTTCGCCTACAACCACTCTGTTGGCAAATCCATTGTGGGTGGCCATGTTTATCGAGGCTGCAAAAACCCGGATCTAAGTGGAAAGTATATATTTGGAGACACTGTAACCTCGTAAGTTGTCAAGGTGGAAAGATAGACATTAAAAAATGTCTTAATCTTAATACTTGATTTAAACGATTTGGCGCTCGCGCTATTTCAGTTTCGGGCCGATGCCCACCAAAAACTATTATAAAATAATCCAAATAGTACGCGCGCTCTGATTGGCCATAAAACCATTTTACATGAGCGTATGTAAACACGGTTTTCGTTCCTCTTTCATTAGTTATTATATAAAAGAAATGACATGAGCGTACATAAGTATGTAAACACGGAAACCATTTTACATTTCTTCAGTATAAATTTTCATTCTATCACAAATGTTGCAACCTGATTGGCTTTCCCCCCCGCCATATAATCCGTGAGTCAATTGATTAGCCCATTAAGCAGCGTGCGGCTGTAAACAAAACAAAATTAAAACATGAGCCTTTGTTGTTGCTAAGTTTTGGACGACCAGTAGATTTACAATCAAACAATTAGACCATTTGTCCTCGATTCCTATGGTTGGTGGTCAATTCTGACTTCGCCTTCATCAAATAACATACGATAGAAATCTCGCCATTAATGAGGAAAAATTGCATTACAACTCTCGCCCGTCGTAGCTATCAACCAACTGAATGCAAATTTAAAATCAAGTGTAATTTGAGAGCTCGTGTTTTCTCAAGTGTTTCAATGTTTGAAGAGCAAAATGTTTCGATGTGTTTTGGTTATTTTGATATTTTGTAAAATTCACACGTAGAGTAAAGTCGACGGCGACATTTTCCCGCCAAAATGACCGGCTTGCGCTAAATACGTGTAAATGTACTGTTTTAGAACTGTACTTTTCCAAGTGTCAAAAGTCAACAACAGTTTTCTTCTCCATCATTATGCTAGCATTGACCCTAGGCATGTAGCTAGACACGATTGAATTTTTGAAGAACAAGAATGTTTTCCATCCCAGCTTCTACCATTTCAGATATTACTCCTTGATGTAGTCCAGACATATAAATTTATACGAGGACCTATACAAGACGCAACATACGGGTGGTTTTATTAACCTTATAAACTGGTGCCAATTTTTACTTGGGTAATAAAAATGTTCACATCAGTATCATTTATTTTTCGGGGCTCTTCTTTTACTTACAGCCGTCTTTTCGCGCTAACGGAGGACAAGACCACAGGGAAATGGAAAGATGAGGAGCTCTGCTTTGGGGATGACAAATATTGCACTGATAATCTCAGCGGAGAATTTGAGCGGTTTATCTTATCATTCGGGGAGGACGAGCACGGTAAACGCATTTACATTTTTCCGTATAATCAAGGTTTTATACCAATGGTAACATTGGTTGTTTGTTTTTGTTTTCAAATCCTTTAATCGACTCGAAATTTATAACAGCTCGAGTCGCGAGACAAGATGGATAGATAAAGTGATGTTTTTACCTTGAAATACATAGTACTGGACACTACCTCGTGGTTTTGGATTTGTTTTTCTAATAAACTGTATTTACAGCCGGGCAGCCAAATAGCTGATTTTCGCAAGGGAATTGTATCTGTCTGCCACAGTTTTAGGGCCTGCTAGGCGAGGGGAAAACTACTCTGTTTCCTATTTCTTTTTGTGAGTCTCACTCACCGTTTGCACTTACTGCAGCCGCTTGGGTGTACACAGCCTCAAGATATGTGAACACAAGCCTGGGTTGATATCGTTGTATTTTGTTTTTTACGGGGCTGTTTACATTCAAAGGCATGTATTCTTCATTCTTCTAGTCAAATCAGTTGTCCAACCATTTTTCAGGGTTAACCTGCGGTCAACTGGCATCACATCACTATTACTAATATGTAGAACAACACGGTGACAGAGGTGACTGACCCTTTTTTCTTTTAAGGGACTGAACCTGAGAGACTGTAATGCAATTTTTTTTTCCATCAGGTGAGCTTTACTTTCTTTCGACAAGCCGTCCTAGCAGCACAAATAGGGAA